TGGTGGTGAGGTGTGGCAAGTTGTGGAAAAGAACTTCAGGGGCTGATCTCATTTGCATAGGCACACCCACCCCACCTAGCATGAGCCCATAGCTGCCCAAATGGTCACTTTGGCTGTTGTGGGATCCCCAGTGTCTCTGTTATTGGGTCAGGAAGAATAAATTGTTATTACCCTGACTATGGGAACTGTGCTTGGAACTGTACTGGGCCTTTTGTTATGATGGAGGGACTCACCATCAACTAAGCAGCACTCGCTATGCAAGAGACATGGGTTCCAAAACTCTGTGAATAGAGAGAGGTTGGGGATAAGTATTAATACTTGGTGGTATGGGCCTCTTGGTGAGGTTCTTGCATGCTAATTGCACTTCCTCCTCTCTCCACTGTGGAATATCAGAGCTAATTTTGATTCCATTAGGAGTCTAGTTACAGGCTGCTGAGCTGAATTCACTTTGGGCTAATGGTGCACCAGCACTGAGGCTCCCCTACTACAAGCTGAATTCACCTAAGAGCTGAAATCACTGAGCGTTGTGTTAAGTAGGCGGGGGAGCCTGAAGATATACTGTGGAGGAGTTTGCAAGGAGTGCTGGAGTGCCTTGTGGACAGGCTGGTGGAGCAGTTTGTAGGACGGTGGGAGCTGCTTGTGGGATGCGGAGCGGAGCAGTTTGTGGGATGGCGGGAGCTGCTTGTGGGGAGCAGAGCCGAGCTGAGCGAAGCAGTTTGTGGGGCAGCTGGCGGGGCGGAGCGAAGCGAAGGCCTGTGGAGCTGTGGGGCGGTCAGTTTCAGATCATGTAAGATGCCCCTTACCTCTCTCTCTCTCCCCCCCGCCCCCCAGTTGGGAGGTAAAGCTCTGCAGATAAACTTTCGAACTCTGGGGCTGCCCTGACCAGGGACAGAGACTTTTGGGCCACTGGACTTTTGGCACTTTAGGTGATTTGGGGTTGCTGGACTCAAGAACCAAAGGGAAAGGACAAGCCCCAGTTTGCTTGGGGTGCGTTTTTTGCTCATGGGTTGTGTTATGAATCCTGTTGGTGGTGTTTCCCCAACATAATGCCACATTGTTTCTCTCTGTTATTAAAAGGCTTTTTGCTACACTCAGACTACGTGCTTGCGAGAGGGGAAGTACTGCCTCTTGGAGGCGCCCAGCGGGGGTGGTATATATTTGTCCCAGGTCACTGGGTGGGGGCTCAAGCCGGTTTGTATTGTGTTATTGGAATGGATCCCCTAGATATTGAACCCGGCCTTTGTTGCTGCCAACTCTGACGGGCGGAAGGGTTACATATTTGAGCATAAGCTTTCGTGGGCTAGAGCTCACTTCATCGGATGCATTCAGGTTCCTAATGGTCAGGGCTACAAGAGGAGGGTATAACAGTTCTTCATTTTAGGGTAACTTTGTTTTCTGTGGGTCTCTTGTTGTTCTTGTGCTGCTCCTTGGGGTGTTTCCAATGCTTGGCATTGTGCAATAATAAACTAGTGCCCAGAGCTCTATCTTGGTGGAGAAAGGCCATTTGAGATGTTTTCTGGAGCTGAGGCAATACTTAAAGCACATGTTCAGTGCTTTGTTAAATTGTGATCTTAATGCTGTTGAGCACCATGGGTCAGATATTTAGGGAGCTAAAGATGCAGATTGGTGCTCAATGGGGTTTTCAAAAGCAGCTAGGCATCCCACATGGCGCTTTAAAAATCTGCCCGTCTCCTCAGAGTTTTCATCTCCGGACTGGACTACAGATGCCAGAATTACCTTGGGCCCTAGTTACAGCGATTTTCCAATTGCAACTTCTCAGATCCTTTCTTTCCAATAATTCATTAAAATATAAACCTCAGGGAACAGGAATAAGCATATGAAAACCAGCAATGTTTCATAGTAAAGCCCCTTGGAGGGCGGGGGAAGGAAAGTATTTCCAGTATTTGGGGAAGGGCCTCACTTTATTTTCCACTGAATGCATCCGATGAAGTGAGCTGTAGCTCACGAAAGCTTATGCTCAAATAAATTGGTTAGTCTCTAAGGTACCACGAGTACTCCTTTTCTTTTTACACACAATTGGTGTATTTTGCTGTTGTTTTATCATTTTTCTTAGTTTATCCTAACATGGCACCGCCATCCAGAATACAGGCCTGTACACTGTCGAGAGCTTGAATGTGCTCAAGTGAAAAAAAAGCGGGCACTTTAAATCTTTTAACCAGCAAGGTGGTATAGCCACCAGCCAGCTGGCAACTGCCCTGCTCCACAACTCTCCATAAGCCTTCCCATCCCCCACTTTTGGCACATTCCAACCTCTCACTGTTGCTAGAACCCCCAGTCCAGTGCTAGGTCACTCACACAGCACGTATTATTTGTTTCCCAAATGTCAGTTAATGTGTCCGACCCCACAGAGGCAGGGCAGTACTGTTACCCCCCATTTTGCACAGAGAACTGAGGCTCAGTGAGATTAAGATCAGAAGCAGGTGACAGTTGCAGCTGATCTGTTTTAACTGTCTCAACCAATATCCCATAGGAAGTCTCTGGTAAGCCAGGGACAGAGCCCAGATCTCAAGGGGAGCAGGTGTATGAAGCTACTTCCTTGATCACAAACAAGATCATCCCTTTCCTTCCTATAGGCCTTTTCCTTGGTCATTGCACTGACGTTATTCATAGGTAGCTATTTGCTATCTGCAGTGTGTCTCGGTGCTTCAGAGAAGTGAGTATGCCGGGTTGCTCTACTGTGCACACAAGGTGGCCTGTGGGAAGAGTTATTTTGCTCTGGGCGAGTCCTTGATTCTGCTCCAAGCTGTCAGGTACTTGCCCTACCTGTTCACAGAACGATCTGACTTTTTGGGTAGGTTTTAGAAGATGCAAATCTGCAAATCCGCTTTTAAGCAAAATCTGCTTTAACAGAATTGACAAAAAAAAAGTCCTGATGTGGAACCATACTGTCCCCTCATGGATCAGCAGCAGGGTTTAAATAGAGGCCCTCAGATTTACATCGCAGACAGGTACCCTTCGAACTGGCATACACTTTGCTCGTGAGCTAAGCGATTATTTGCTCAACAGCAGTAAAAAGGGGTTGGAATCAGGATTCCTGGGTTCTGTTCCTGGCTATGGGAGGAGAATGAGGTCTGGTGTTTAGAACAGAGAATGAAAACAAGGCCTAGCACATTCATTTCAAAAGGCAGTGTAGCTATGCGGAGGAGACTGGAGTCTGCCATATTTAAGACCTTCCAGCTCTACCAACAGTGACTTTCGGCAACTGCTCTAAAATGGGGGAAAGGATAACGGAGGACCCTAAGGTAGCGCGATAACAATAGACGACTGTGAGCTCACATTATCATTACATGACAGCATTAGGGGAGGCAGCATGGTCCAGCAGTGCGTGTGCTAGGCTGGGACTCCAGATACCTGAGTTCTTTCCCTGGTTTTGACACTGCAAAGTCACTTAATGTTTCTCTATCTGTAAAACAGGGGCATTGATACTGGCCTTCTTTGGAAAATGCTGTGTTACCATCCCCTCAGGAACAACTCCCTGCCCTGGCAACACAGTTGCTGATCGCGAATGCCTTGTGCTCTCTGCAAATCTCTTGATGCTCTGAGAAGCAGGAGCAGTGCATTCAGTTTGGCCATTGTAATACTATATGACTCACTAACAAAACTTGTCCAGATAGTCACCCACAGGAGTGTAACCATCTCCCTGTAGTATAAAGAGAGAACCTGAGACATGAGGCATGGTATAAGGGGCCTGAAGTGACGCCTAAGGCCTGAACTAAAGTCAGGCCCTGCTGATATAAAGCAAAGTTAGCAAGAGTCAGGCCCTGTTATAAAACAGATGCCTGTTTACAGGTGCACTGTCCGGCACAGGAACTTGGCAACAACATGGCTTCGTTCCAAAACCACAAGCACTCTTAGGCACTAGATATTCACATAAACACATTCCAGAAGGGTGGTACCAGGACACCCTGATACAAGGTTATGGTATAAACACACTCCCCAAAGATAATACAGGACACACTGACCCCTCCTAAAGAGATAGTAGGATGACAGGGTGATGGCTGGAGATGTTTTGATCGAGCCAACATGCACAAGGTAAAGGGTGGGAACTAACCACATCAGAGGGGCAATATGTAACTTGGTTGTATCAGCATAAAAAGGGGCCACAGAGGGGGTGTCTTTGTCTGGCCTAGTGGGGGGCAGAAGATCCTGTCGCTCACCGAGCGGAGTCCATTGTCATGGGCATACATGTATTAGTGGCCCCATAGAGTCTGCCAGGTACTAGTACTGTGCTTTCTCAGCAATAAACCTGGCTGAGCACCTTCGCTACTAAACCAAGTCTGTGGCCTTCTTGGGCAGTTCAATCAAGATCAGCTGTACGGGCTGTCTGCGCAGAGCTGGTGCAGCACATGGAGAGAACACACGCAGCCAACAACTGATAACACATACTTCAACTTCAAATCAATATAAAGTTCTTACATCCAAAGGAGAGCTAAGGGAAGAACTGAGGGTTTGGTTTGATGGCTGAACTGAAAAATCGAGAAAAAATTTGGTTAGTCACAAAACAAAACGGAATTTTTAAATTTTTTCTTGACAAAATGAAATAATTCAGGTCAAAGGAAACACTGTGAATGTTGTCTTGAAATGAAATGCCAACATTTTCTACAAAAGTTTCAAAGTGGTTTGTTTTGAAAATGTCAACACAAAGCATCCTGACATTTGCAATTTTGGTTTTTGGGTTTTTTTTCAGACGAACTATTTGCCAAAGTTGACCCAAATTTGCCAATAATTTTGGACCCTGAAAGATGCATTTTTTGGAGTGAAATTTCTATTTGCCAGAAAACAATTGTCCAACTCTACTCCAAAGAACCAAGGCTGTGTAGCTACGCCCAGCTCAGTGTCAGCAGGACCCGGTGCTACCACTCTGGCACCGACTGAAGCTAGGTCAGAAAGAGCTGCTCCCCCGCCCCTCGCTGCTTTTCATACAGACCACAACTACTTCCTGAAGTTAGACAGTCGCTTGTCACGCACCTGGCAAAAGCCTTTGGTTTGAAGATGCAGTGAAGGCAGAGGGTGATCAGGCAACATACAAATGCTGGATCCCAACCTCCCACGGGCAATTCTGCGTGAGGACATTTGAATCTACATGGAGAGAGGGAGAGAAGCAAGCATGTGGTGACAGAAAATGGTGAGTAATTTACTGTGTCTGAGTTGTTCACACCTGGTCTGTGAGGAACACAAGGGCAGGAGAACAGGACACAGCCAGTGGGGCAGGATTCCTCCATAGCAGTAGGAAAGATGGAGTGTCTTATTGCCAGCCAGACTCAGCAAGAGCAACACAGGGTGAGCCTTGCTCCAGGTCAGAGGAGCAGCAAAAAGCATTGTGCAACACATCCCCGTGGACAGTAGGACTTTTGCATTTGTCCAATGTGGTGCACAAAGAACCACCAGAGGATATCAGATTGCTTTGCAGTGTGAGATGTAAACCAGATGGGGATCACTTCACTCAGCACTGAAATGCAGCCGCCTTCTGGTCAAACCCAGAAGCTGGATAGAGGCACACAGCAACACTAAACAAACTAGGTCAAGATGTGATGTCTTTTTCAAAGCTACACTCTAGTTCAATCACAAGCTGTTGGGCTCGATGCAGGAATCACAGGGCAAAACTGGCTTGTGCAGGGCATCAGACTAGTACAGGGGTTCTCAACCCAGGGGTCGGGACCCCTCAGGGAGTCGCGAGGTTATTACATAGGGGGTCGCGAGCTGTCAACCTCCACCCCAAATCCTGCTTTGCCTCCACCATTTATAATGGTGTTAAATACATAAAAAAGTGTTTTTAATTTATGGGGGGGGGTTGCACTCAGAGGCTTGCTAGGTGAAAGGGGTCACCAGTAAAAAAGTTTGAGAGCCACTGGACTAGAAGATTGGGTCCCTTCTTGCTTTAAAATCTATGAAAGCAGAGAAGATTACTGTACACGAGTGACACCAAAGAGGCATTTAGGGAGGTAGAATACAACAACCTGAGTTGGAATTTGATCGGGATATGGGGGTATCAGCAGCTTTAGTTCATAACTGGACTTTTTTTCCATCCTTTTTTTTTTTTGGAATTCATGAAATGGCTGCAAAATGGACATTGGCGTGGTTCAAAAAGCAATTCTGGGTCAAATATTCGCACTTGTGAATCTTGAAAAAGCTGGTTTATACAGTTGCTTCTTCAGAAGCCACCTGGCCTGTGGGGGAAGTAAAGACTTGGAGGACAGATGCCACGTTCTGTCTCCATCTGTGCTACTGCTGGCCCGTAACAATACTCATCTTGCAACTGCTGGGGATAGTGGCTACTTCCGTGCCTGCTCCCCTTGATGCCAAAGAAAGCTGGGAGTGCTCCCGGCTTTAGAGATCAGGCAACTCATTTAGGTGCCTACATTTAAGCACTCAAGTTTTAAAATTTTGCCTTTATCTTCTTTGTGTCCAATCCCCCATCTGTAAAACTAAATCATGTACAAGTACAAAGTACAATTTAGGTCTGGGAGTAGCAGGGGGAAGAGCAAAGAGCTTTGGGAGAGCAAATCCAAACGTGCTGATTAGCTGTTTTGTAAAGGGACAAAATAGGTATTGCACGGGCTGGGAAATGACTGGTGGGCAGCTCACGGGATGACCCCTTTGTGGGGATGCGGTCCATGCGATACAAAATTTACAATACAAGCTTTACAAAATTCCAACTACATTACACCTGCTGCTCTCTGGCATGCACTAGTTTGGCAGTGCTACCCCAAAAGCAATCAAGGCAGCCATTCCCCGGGGATTTCCAACACAGAGGTTTCTAGGCCATTTGGGCAGCTCTGAAATGCTGTTGTAGAGGCCAGCCCCTCGCTGGTGCAGTTACTAGCCTGCCTCACTTCACAGTGTGAGCTGAGCACAATACTAACCGCACAGGAAACTCACCAGGCACTGCTCTGAAAAGTGTGAGGAGCTCCTCCCACACAAACACAGGACTCGCTCTCCCAGATGGCGGTGACAGCGAGGGCAAGGTGACGAGCAGAGGCATGCAACTGGGACTGCCTCTGCCTACAGCTGCAGCGGTCACTAGTGAGGCCATGGTTCCCAAATGGCAGCCTAAGCTGACACCCTTGAGTCAGGCTATTGCACCTGCCAGGCTTTGCAAAGAAAAATGCAACTGGGGTACAAGTGAGCTGCCTGCTAGAGCCATGGCCAGTCAGCTGCACCCAGGAGGGAATTTTTCAAAGGGGTGTGTGACTCAAGGGATGCACCTAAGAGCAAGCGGGTTTTAGGGCACAAATACTTTGCACTGGAAATTGCACTTGTAATAGGGTGCAGCCGACACCAGCAACTCTGCATTACCTGTCCAGAGAGGCCCAGCCACGCAGCAGCCAACGTCTCCAGGCAGCAGCGGGCTCTCGGTTCACACGGCAGCCAGGCTGACAGGTTCCCTGGGAATCGCTTTGCAGCAAGATGGTCCCAGAGGGACCAGGAGCAGGATGGAGAGGGAATGTGGCTGTCTCCTGACTCCCCTCATTTTGCCATTGACTTCGATTGGGGTTGGGAGCAGGACTGGGCCCTTTGCTCCCTTCCAAACCCTGTGCAGTGTCTGGATACTAAATTCTACTCTTCGCTCTGTTGGTGTCAGCGTGAAGTAACCCCACGGGGTCAGAGTGCCCCTCCCATTGGAACCCCTTCGGAGGGCACCGCGGGAGAAGGAACAGAGGAGAAAAACTCCCCGAGAGTGACCCATGGAGCTTCTCCAGGTTGTTCTGTTGGGGGCTGGGTGCTTATCTTTGCCCCCATCCGCAGAACAAGCAGGAGGTTCAACCTGAGATTATTCAGCCACTGCCATCAGCATCGAGGCCCCGTGGCTCCGCAGCCACGCCAGGGCCCTGTTGGCTGTTTGGACTGTAGGCTCTTTCTCTCCAGTTTTGTGCCGATCCTTACGTAATGGGACCTCTAGTTGTTACTATAATACAAAGAATGATCGTTTGCCAGGTGGGATGTGAAATGTTTGTGGTTTTAATTAATTTTACTCCATGGACATTGTCAGGGTGATTGCCTAGAACTGTCCTTAATGATCCTCAGACACATGTGGAAATTAACGTTGTCTATTCTGTCCTAGGAAGGAGAACGTGTTAAGCACCTACGGGCCAAGTTCCAAGGGAACAGGCAAAAATTCTCTGAAATGAGCAACAGGCCAGGGAGTCAGCTTGCAGCCTCACTTGCAAAGGAGGAGACACACGCACTTAAACCTGGATCTGAGAGGGACCAATCTACTAAATTACCCAAAACCAGGAGGATGGGTTTGAAAAATGCTCCTTTATGTCAGGATGACGTTCCAGGCTTGGGGCCCCTTTGTGAAGACCCAGCATGGGTGACTAACTCCAAGGATGGAAATGCTATGGAATCCAGCCTCCACGCAGCCGTTCTGCAAACAGGAATACGAGAGGCACCCCCTGAACAAAAGGGCACAAGGTGGAATTCAAACCTTCCTGAGAGAAGCCGGACTCAGCAGACCTGGCCACTGATCAAACATGCTAGGAATCAAGGGGTAAATGCTGGTGCCCCCCTGGTTCCTGCCAAAGGGACAGCTGTCCCATCCCTACTGGACTCTCCAAGAAGCATACCAGAGAAATGGCAACCTAAGGTTCCTAAGAGAAAGCCGCTGCCACATGCAACAGCACTGGGAGTCAAGCCAATGAAACCCCAGCGCCCTCCTGAGGTGGATCTAGAGGGGTTCTGGAAGGCTGCTGCTATCAGAACACATGCTTATCCTGCACCAGAGCCAGGGAGAGGCATGAGGCATGGTATGTACAGGAGTACTTTGGTTACATGCGAACCCCCAGGCAGCTAGAGGAGAGCGGCCCTGCAGGATGGGGAGTCACTAGTGCAGGAAGGAAAAGCTGCTAAATTAGGATCTGGAATTCCTTTGAGTGGAAGGGAAAGATGCGGTTCTGGGAAAGAAGAGGCAGGTTTTATAAACATAACAGGATGGGGGAAGAACTAGAGAGGAAGTCGATCCATTAATAAATGAGAAGATGGAGGAAATTAATGAGGACTCAGAAATTACTGAGATGCTGTGCTTGTTTTTGCCTGTAGCAAAAGAAAGACCAGAGTGGTGCCTAGTTAGGAAGTGAGCTGGAGAGAGCTGCTTACACACTGGTTGGCTTAGGTAGGGTTACCATACACCGGTATTTTCCCGGACATGTCTGGCTTTTTGGTTCTTAAATCACCATCCAGGAGGAATTTTTAAATATCTAAAAACATCCGCGATTTTGCCATTATTATTTTTCCCCAAAGAAGAGTTGATCATTCAAGAAAGAGAGTGAATGTTGATTACTCAAGAGAGTGCCCGTTTTTTCCCCCTAGCTCCCAGTGCTTGCGCCACAGAACAGCTGTTTTGTGTGGCTGGGAGGGAGAGGGGAGAAGGGAGAATGCGGCGTGCTCAGGGGAGGAGGCGGGGCCAGGGCGGGGATTTGGGGAAGGGGTCCAATGGGGCAGGGAGGGGTCAGAGTTGGGGCGGGGACTTTGGGGAAGGGGTTGGAATGGGGGCAGGAAAAGGGTGGAGTTGGGGCAGGGGCAGGAGAGGGTGCGAGCAAATCCCTCTTCCCCCGCCCCATGGAGTGTCCTCTTTTTTGAATTTTCAAATATGGTAACCCGAGCTTAGGGAACTAATGAACTTCTCTGTAGCTGGCAGTAACTCACCGGGAACAATCTCCCCCCCCAGACAGCCCTGCATGCTCTCTGATACTTTTGTGTAGCGGGTGGAATTGGGAAGGGTACTCTGAGCCAGCAGGAGCATCCGAGTGGGGCCCAGACAGTTGTCATGTTCCTGCTTTTTGTGTCCAGCCTGAATTGCCAGAAGCCACCTTTGGTATTAGTGACTGCAAAGACTTTTGTGTTGGCTCAGTCTGGCAACACTCCTCCCCACGTAGGCAGGGAACAGTGCTCTGCTGAGGTCCTCAGGGTCTAAGCAACTTGCATAAGATCACTGCCCTGCTGATCTTAGCTCTTTTCACAACCCCCTCATTCCACAAGCTTGCTGGGGGCTTTGCTCTCCTTCGCACTGCTCTGAAGGATGGACGTTGGGCCCTTTAGCCAGTTCGTGCTCCGTGTCTTACACTTGGGGCCGGGACGCTGGAGCCTGTGTAGAAGTGGTGGTACCACGGGTGCCCGAGCTGTGGCCTTGCCCCCTGCTCCCCCTCTTCCCCCAGGGCCCTGCCCCTTGGCCAGGCCGGAAGCCAGAGGCTGGCCATGGCAAGAGCCACCCAGGGAACCAGAGCTGCTGTGCGGAGCCCTGAACCCTCGACCTGCGCTGGGCACTGGGGTGCCCGAGAGCAGACCCCGACCCGTGTCTCCAGTCCCAAAGGTGTGCCACCCAGCTTCTCAGCTTTCCTACCATGAAGCACAGCAGCCCCTGCTGCCACTCTGCGCCTGCCCAAGGCAGCTACACCCATGTTAAAAAGTGGACAGGCATGGCCCTGCAACCTCCCGATTCTGGCGCCCCTGACTTGGGGCCCTCCTCTGAACTGCACTCTGCTGGTCTCAGGTACTTCTGGCCTCCATTGCTGTAACATCTGAGCACATCACAGTCATTCATATATTTATCCTCGCTACATCCCCTGGGGTAGTGCAGTACTGTTATGGCCCTTGTACAGGTGGGGAAGGCAAGCAAAGAGAGAGTGAGTGACTTGTGTAAGGTCACACAGACCCTATGTGGGGGAAGCAGGGAATCAAACCCTGTTCTTATGAGTGTTAAGGGGTGCCCCTAAACACTGAGCCTAAATCCATACCATAATCAGGAGCCTAAATCCATACCATAATCCTTGTGTCAGCCACGCTCTTCTCCTGCATCCCTGGTGCATTTTCACTCTGAGATGTCTTGCAGACAGGTTCCTCATTCGCTATAATTAGAATCTTTTCCTTACAGGTTTCAGCCGAAACAAATGGTTTCTGTAACTCTTTTACCACTTCAAAGTGTAATTCTTACATGTACAGCTCAGTGATAAGAATAATCACATAACCTTAGTTTGATTTCACACTGTTGCAAAGCTGGGTTTCCTTCTTGTGAGTAATTGGTGCAGTTATTAGGTCACATGACAGTCCTTTCTGAGACAGAATTTCCTTACCTGGCTGTTTGCCAGGGTGCACACGTCAGGGTTTTCCTGGTGTTCTATCTGCACCTATAATAAAGACTATGGATACATCAGGTGTGCTGGCCTCTTTTGCCTTCATCCAAATGGACCTTGTTTTGCTACCTGTGCAGTCAGTAGGCTTTCGTAAAAAGGTTTATCTCCGTCTCTGGACATGTCTCTCTGCCCTCACCCACTGACTATCACACAATAATGATGCACAGTAATTTCAATGCACAATAGTTTCTGCATTGTCCTCTTTTCCTGCTGTTTGTCTTTTCTTTTCTGTGCAGGTGTCCCCCCACTACATTACTGGTTTTGCCTGGGTTGGGCTGAATTCATTTTTCAGGCACAAATTTATAATGTAGCGAATCTAGCTTGGCCTCTCCTCACATCTGAGCCCTGGCATCTGCATCTCTTGTGTCCAGTGCCATGTCGTCTTGTATCAGTTTACCATGCAATGACCAGACATGCCTGCCAGCTGATTCCTGGGTTTGGAATGTCCCTGGCCGGTTGGGTTAAGTGCATTCATACAGTATGTTCCTGGATGGCTGGAAGAGCTTCTCCTGCGCTGCCAGGGGCTCTGTAACAGCCTGCTGCTGCGCTCCAGGCAGCATGGGAAGCTGGTAAATATGGGAGCAGGCTGTTCACAGCAAGCCTTACCGAAGGAGCTCCCTTGTCCAGTTCACTTGCAACTTCACAGGCTTCCCATTATGGCTGAAGAAATGCCTGGCTTGCCCTCTAAGGCAACTGGATTTATTTCCGAACACTCAAGCTTCCTCACAGCAAGTCCAGCCCTCTCTGCCTTCATAGAATCATAGAATATCAAGGTTGGAAGGGACCTCAGGAGGTCATCTAGTCCAACCCCCTGCTCAAAGCAGGACCAATCCCCAATTTTTGCCCCAGATCCCTAAATGGCCCCCTCAAGGATTGAACTCGTAACCCTGGGTTTAGCAGGCAAATGCTCAAACCACTGAGCTATCCTTCCCCCCCAAAAAGCCACAACTGTGCATTGGCCAGGAATCGAACCCGGGCCTCCCGCGTGGCAGGCAAGAATTCTACCACTGAACCACCAATGCTATTTGCTGGATATGTGCTGGATATAGGAAGGCGGGCAGTCCAAGGGTGTTAGGGAGCCGGGCCTGGGGAGGATCCATTTCTGGACAATGCTGTCTTTGGGCTGGAAGCTGATTTGTTCTTTACTTGGGGGTCTAAAAACACTCAAATCGTCCCACATTTCAGCAAAGGCATTTCAAACAGCAGTGCTACTGTCCTGGACAGCCACTAGGGGGTGCCAGACACTGGTACTCAATGCCCAGTCTGGTAGCTGGGGACCCAGGTGTGTGCAGGGTCTGGCCGGGGGAGGGAGTCAGTCCAGGGGAGCGCTGGATATAGGAAGGAGGGCAGTCCAAGGGTGTTAGGGAGCCGGGCCTGGGGAGGATCCATTTCTGGACAATGGAAGGGAGAGAGCTGGAATGAAGCTATAATAGAAACCCCTCTAGAATGAGACGGGCTGAGTGTGATGTGCGTTGTCACTGTAGTGCTCTCTGTTGTAGGCTCTTTCACCCATCGGGGGCGGGGGGAGGCTGCGCCTTCCTGCAGACTTTCTGGGATTTTTGCAATGCAAGTCAATACGATCTTGGATTCCGGTGTACGGTGACGTATGGCCTGTGGAGGGCTGGCAGTGGGGTCATCAGGGAAGGCAAGCCTCTTTCACTTTCTTCTGAGAACTGTAAGACTTAATCGCTGCCAGTGATGCAGTCTTCAGGGTTCTGGTTTAATAGCACTTGGGAGCTGTGCAAGGGGCAGGAACCCCCGACCTTAAAAAGTAGGGACTGTGCTGCTTGGACACCATTGATCACTCTGGCCACTAGACCTGCCTCTAGGCCAGTACCGCTTTTCCTTTGGTCCATAGGGAGAACTCGGGTTGTGTGGGGTAGCTACACTTCTGTGTGACCAGCTCTGAAACCATTGTGATGATGTCCTAGTTTGGGCAACTGCCCCCGGTATGTTCTGCTCCGGGGTCCAGCCAGGGCACCCACTCTAGGCTCCAGCCCCTCAGCCATCACCTCTCTTGGGTAGAGACCAAGTCTCTTGCCCTCCTGACCAGGGTTGTTCCAAGCTGCTCACTTCCCTGCCTACACTGTGAGCTCCCCAGCAAGTCAGACTGCCTCAGCCAGCCTGCTTGGCCTTCCTTCCTCAGAGGCTATCAGCAGGGTAATTGCATCATTAGCAGTCACCAGACAGCCCTTTCTAAGGGTAGTGTCTACACTACAGCTTATGTCAGAATAACTTCTGTGGCTCAGGGGTGTAAATAAACCACGCCCCCGAGTGACATAGGTTACACCCACAGACACGCCGGCATGGGCAGTGCTGTCTGTGGGAGAGCTTCTCCTGCTGCCCGCAGAGGCAGTTTTATTACACCAACAGGCGACACAGCACCCGACTCATTCACTGCAATGCACCGTACAAGCTGTACGTCCAGTGACCTCCCCCAGCTCCTTTCTGCAGCGACTGTGGCCGGGTCTACATGAGACACTTTTTTTGCTACATTTCTATGCCAGCAAAAGCCTTCATGTAGACACTGTTATGCAGTTAGAGTGGCATAAAAGTGTTTTTGCAAAAAGTGGAAACCCACTCTTTTACCAGTCTCAGCTGCATCTCCACTAGGCGGGCTTGCCGGCATAGCTATTCCAGCAAACCCTTCCTAGCATAGACAAGGGCTTTCTCGCTGCCTTTTCTCTCCTTCTCCCAGGGCCAATGGAGAGGGGCTATTAGGGGTCAGTTCTGCTCTGTTCCCACATGCCCTGAAGCCTGGCCTCTCCCTCCCCTCTTCCCAGGGCTGATGGAAGCTTGTGATGGATGGAGTGTGAAGCATGGGGGGGGGGGGGGGGGGTGTTTGTGGTTACTGCACCTTGAAGGACTGGCACACAGTGTTGTAAATGGTCACAATTTTATCTCACAAATGAGGTGATATTTAGTGCACTTTGTAAAGCCCCAGCTCATGGGTCATGCAATCAGCTTGCATTTAAAAAGAAAAGTAGCTTTCTAGGCCCAGTGTTTTTTGAGGAAAGCTTGAAAACATGGCCAGAGAGTGCCTTAAAAGAGCAAAAAGAACCCCAGATTTATTAGGATTAAAAAATCCTCTTGTGATTTTTAAGCCAATCTTGAGATTTTGGGGGGCCTGATTCATGGTTTTTCATTGCTTGGGGTTGACGATGCTGTATAGAGACATGTCGTTGGTCAGTGGCTGCAGTTGCAATTAGTTGGCTACTGAACCCAAGATGGAACGAGTGGGCTGGGAGTAGCTTTTTACTTGGGAGCCCCTCACTGTGCTAAGGAGATTTGTATGTATTGTTCCAAGCCAGTGAAAGGCCCTGTAGTTCATCCCAGGGGCGGGCTTGGCTGAATAGAATTCCTGGGAGCAGTGATGGGTGGGAGCAGCCTTTTAATGGGAGACTTTTTGAAACAGCAAGGTGACCGGTGAGGCAGCATGATTAAGAGACCAGAGAACTGCCCTGGCCAGGAGACTGTGGAGGAGTCCATGACTGTGCCTTGCCTAGCGGGCTGGTTTGGGCACAGACCACATCTCCCTTCTTTTCCTCCCCTGCTTTCATGGCCCTCTCCAGTGGGGAAGGCAGGACGACCCTGCATATAGAATGGTCGGGGGCAGATCTGGAATCTAAATACGAGTTTCTTGGTGGGGGTGGAGGTTTGCATTGCCCTGACAAACCCAGGAAACTGGCTTGAAGCCATCAGTGAACTGGCTTTCCCCTCTACCCCTCCCCGTCCCCACAACCTTTGCCATAGGTCACCTGAAGCCAAATTCTGCTGGGTCTTCCCCAGTCCGACTTGCACCTCAAGCTGCTTCATCTCCTCGTGTCCTGAGGTCAGCGGCAGAAGTACTGAGATGGTAAATCTTTCTTATTCTTGCTTTGCACCCCCAGCTGCAAGATGGGCTGCTGCTGACCAAAGGCCAGAGCTGCGGATACAGTCCAGCATTTTCAGAAGTGGCCCCTGAGGTTCTGGATGCTGCAGTTTCTGGGTGCCACATGTGAGACACCTCAGGTTGGATTCCCTGTTGGACAGTCATTCAGACCAGAGCTCAGTGCCACCATTCTGCTATGGGGGTGTTTCGTACCCACGGTGCACGAGACTAAATGGCACAAGCTGCAGGGCAGAGGAGAATCAGACCTCCGGGGTGTGATTCTTCCGTGATGCTGAGGACCGTGATCTCCAAATGAAATCAATGGGAGCATCCAGAGAGCAGTAGCAGCCCGAGGTGTCTCATGTGGGAGACCTAGTCACTGGGGGACCAGATAATTTTGAAACCTCTGGCGCTGGTCTCCCTCTGTAGCTCAGGTACCGATCACCATCTAGCACACACCCTGTTGTGGTTCATTGCTACAAGGGAGGCGCAGCACTCTGCAAAATGACGGCACAGCCTGCAGCCCCAAACCACACTCCTTGTGGTGCCTTACAGTGTTGCATGGTCCTGTCCCTGCTGCAGCCCACTGCCAGCCCCAGGGACATTTTGGCCTCCTGCCCCTTGCCATCCACCCTCTTGCAGTGCTGATGTTTGTGACAGTCTGTTAAACTCGGCTCTTGCACTGCAATCACACCCACCACAGCTCAGCTCCCTAATCCCATTCTTTCTGCTGCCCCAGTCACCAAGAGCAGATATATGATGATGTGGAAGCAGTTGGGCCAATTGGCATAGGGAAAGGACGTCCGTTATCGTCTGCTTCCCGGCTCCCAGCAAGTCCCCGCTCTGGAACAGGTACGTACCCCAGACTGGAGCAGGGGTTATGGCAGGGGGTATGTAGCCAGCACTGCAAATAAAAAGGTGGCCACTGCCCACTAGACACTGTTCAGAGCACAGCTCGCGAGGAGCTCACCATCCACTACAAGTGTAGTGTGCAGCTCCACTCTGAAAAGTGAGTGTGCAAACCTGAACCCCCCCTCCTCCCCCGCTCCCTGTGTGCATCAGAGACATTTCTGATCAGCTCGGACCAGGGCAGATGCCATACACTGCCCGAGTCCCTCAGTGGGGGCCCGAATAGCACCTGGCTGAGCTTTTGAGAACTCAAGTCAGAGCGAATAGAAACTGTGTCTTGTGCTTCTGCAGCCTGCTAGCGCAGCATGGGGGAAAGGGGCTGTATTAGCACTGTCAGAGCCTGGCACCAAGGTGCCCTCCCCCATCCACTGCCCCAGGAGTTCAGACACCAGAGGGGTCGTTGTACTGTCCAAGCAGCCACAGGTGCCCAGGAGCAGCTGGCTGAAGGGTCTTGAGGCCATGGGGTGGACGCGGAAGGCAATGGCATCTGGGCCTTGGCTATGTGGCAAAGTTTTATCATACAGTGTAACCCACAAGGGAACCCTCCTGTTCCCTTATAACACTGGCATTTTCTGTTTACCTTAATCCCGTCCCAAGAGACATAAACAGGACTGCTCATACCAGAGTCAGAATGTCCACATGCAGGGATAGAGCAGTCTAAGATACACACCTTGGGTTAGACCCCAAATCCTTCCCCTTGTACCCAAGGATAACAGCTGCACCTGGAGAGCACAGCACCCTCTAGCAGTGGGGTTTGGAAACCTCAAGGGCCAGGGGCCTAGCTGAGTCGTGAGTCAGCTTGGGCACCCAGTGCTAAGAGCAGATTTTCAAAGACAAAGCACAATCCACCTCTGCTTTGAAAGTTCCCCTTTTTGGCTGAACACCCAAAATCCTTTGCAGAGCCCCAAGGTAAAGTCCTCGGTCTCTGTTTCCTGCTGGGCAGAGGCAGGAGCGTGAGTGAATGCGCAGTCAGTGCACGGATGACCGACAGTGCTGTCGAGCAGGGTACCGTGTTATTATGGTGATGTGGTGGGATTCTGGGGAAGCGATGGCTGGAGTTCTGAGTTCCAGCCACATCAGTATCAGAAAGATGTGCATCAATTCGGGGGCGGGGAAGTCAGAGCCAAAGTGAAGGGGCTGGAGAGACCGATTACTGACCCTTCCTAAAGACTGGCTAAGCAACAGCAAAGGAGGGACCTGAGAATAGTCTCCAGGTATTTGCAGAGGACAACATCATAGAAGAAAGAAACTACTAGGGCATTCAGTGCCCTCCTGCCAGTCCAGGATGCCCCCTGCAAGGGGGAGAGGGGCAGGGTAAAATGTAAGCCTTCCTGACAGAGAGAGGGCTCTAGCTGTGGAGTCATCTCCACACAGGAAGCCCCATCATTTGGCACAGAGAAGACAGGGTAAAACCCTGGGGGCCAGGCTCTAGGGCTGGATGGGACCCAGCCTCCACCTCCGATGCCGGCAAAGCATTCCCGCCAGCCACCCCTTTGAGCTTGTCTCAGCACGCGGCTTTGCCACACCAGCCTCACTGACTCCTCTCCATGCACCGTTTGTTTGTACAGGTGCCAAGCTGACCCTTGACAGATTTCCCCCACCGCCCACTGAGCCCAGGTAATCAATGGATTTATTTATTCAATGCTGCTCACATGCCAAAACATTGGGCATCACCTAGCGCATTTGCTGTGCTTCTGCAAGGGCCGCTGTTTTAGCTGAGCCCTGCGGGACTGAACCGGGCAACCACAAGAGCTATAAGCGTGCGGCTATAGCATGAGCCACAGCTGCCTAGCCAGGGCTCCAACAGCGTCCTCTGCTCTGGGGATCTGCAGAGAGGCCCCGTAAGAGCCTCAGGCAGCCAGCACGGTCAGGTCACATTTCCAAAGTTCTCTCTTTTCCAGCATGGATCTCACCCTATGGCCAGGGCCAGACTACAGCGGGACAGCGCCACGTCCCACACCAGCGGAAGGGGTTTTCCTGTCAGTGCAGTTCACCCTCCTCTCCAAGGGGCAGCAGTGGGGTTGACAGACACTTCTGTTGACCTAGCTGTGTCTATAGCTGGGGTTAGCTTGATCCACCCACGTCTCACAGGGTTTGAAATTTTTCACAGCCCTGAGCGATGTGGCTAGGTCGGTCTCATTTTTGGATGTAGACCAAGCCTAAACTGCACAGCTGCAGAACTGCAGAGCAGACGTGGCTCTGGGCAGAGATTTCCAGCTGGGCCAAAACAGGACAGAAGACTGAGCTCCCCACTCATGGGATCAGCACAAACTTCTCTTACTAGGGCTCTGTGCTAAATGCCCTGTGTGTCTCTAGGGGCCCTGGGCTCAGTCCCTATCCAAATGCTTATGTGTGTGTTGGTGCCGTTCCCAGTCCCCTGGGCCAAGCTGGGCAGGCGGAAGGGAAGCACTGTTTGGTTGATAAAGGTAACTGTGTAGATGTGACATGATTTTTGCTTGGGAAACTCAGCCATGAATTCGGTAGAGCACTCTGTATAACTGTGCATTTGGCTGTATTAAAATTCAACAAACCCAAATGTTTCAACCCTACCTGAATGAAATACTTTGTTTTACTTTTTCTGATGGAAAATTAAGGATTCAGCAAAATTAAAATTTTCCCACTGAAAATTTTGAATTATCAAAAAGCTGCATTTTCCACTATTTGGATGAAAAATTCCTGACTCGCTCTCTCCATGGGGTTGCCAGCTCAGTCTGGGCCTCAGGGCTCTGTGGGGCATTGGTTCTCCGAGTCCTTGTTATCCAGACGGAAGTGAGAGCCCGGGAGCTATAATATAAGAAAACAATTTTAAAAGCCTATTTAAAACAGTCTGTATCATAAAGAAGCCTGATGGTTATAACCCCATGTTTGGCTTTGCAGTTCATCTTTGAATAAGAGGCCCCCACATGGGTGGCGTTAAAGAAAGGAACTGAGCCTTCACCTTTAAAATTTCAAGTTGTAGTTTCTTTATCTTCACACTGCATTAAAGCCAGGGCTTGCTGTGGTGGTTTGCATGGAATATACCTTAGCTTAGCAAATGGATTGGTGCAGATTGATTCTCCAGGTCATCTATGGGCTCGATTCACTATAGACCCGCCTCTTGCGCAGTCATTTACATCAGACATGGGAGTGCAAAACAGGCCAGGGATGTTTCACTCTGGCTCTGTGCCGGAGTAAATACCTGAACACACTGCAGGGCTGTGAGTCAGGCCTGATAAAGTTAAACACAAAGGCACTGATTCTGTGCTCCAGTTCACTGGCGTAAAGCTGACACAGAACCAAGTGGAGAATCTGGCCCGAACAGTTTAACTTCTCTGCTAGTTTGGAACGCAGCCCCAAAGCCCTGGACAGATGGAGACCTTGGGCTGTAGTGAGGCATCCCCAGCAGTGGAAGCGGGCTGCGGTGTTATTGCCATGGATGATTTATTATGAACTGGACAAGGGAGGATTGGGGGGGCGGGCTGCCTCTCCTGAACATTCCGGAAGATCACTGAGACTTTTCCTGGCTCTGCAGAAAAGCCCAGATTTCAGAGCTAAGCAGGAAACATGTGAAGAATCTCAAACAGTGCAAGAAAGAAGAGCAGACGGACAAGGAATTTCGGAAGAAATTCAAGGTGAGCAGCAATGGGCCCTTCTTCACAGCAATCCCCCCATGAGGTGCAGTCAGTCATTCATTCCCCTCCTGCAGCCACAGTGAAGGTGGTGCCCTATGTGACAGGGATTTCGCACAAAGCTAGAGAGAGATCTCCTCTATAAAACAACTCTTAATAGGAACCCAGACCAAAATCTTTGTTAGCTTAGACTTAACAGTCTTAGGTCCCCCACTACAAGATCTGCCCTAGCTCAAGTAGAAATGATGGGCTCAGTGAAGAAATAACAGTGTCAGGTTCCCAGCGGTGAAGTCCTGAATGGCCACCTGCCAGAACACCCCACCAGCGTGACCTCACACACCCCGTACTTGCAAGGTCACGTTCTGCAGCCAAAGTGCCGGTCCGCCATTCCGGTGTGATCCGGCCCCATCCAGCACAGCCGTTCTCTGGCCAGTGCCGTCCAGCCATTGCCGTGCAGGAGGTGAGAGATGATCTTAGAGATCCGGCCTGGCCTTACAGTCTCTGGTGGCATATGAGCACCTCTCAGTCTTTAACATGTGTATCCCCTTAACTTTCCCGCACACGCAGTGCTGCTAGCCTCAGGTTGCCGATGGGGAGCTGAGGCACAGAGAGGCTTGGCCAAGGTCCCCCAGGACGTCTGTAGGCCAACAGGAATTGCAGCGAGGCCTCCTGCCTCCCAAGCTAGTGCCCAAAGCACTGGGCCATCCTTTCACTCTGTCAGAGCCATGGCTGATTTGGGCGCTTTTCCTGTCAATGCAGCCCTTCCTCCACCGCATCCCCTGCAGAGCTGTCTTCATCCCCACAGGCGCTCTGCCCCCAGCCTCCTCCCATCCCACATTCTTCAACATGCCCTCGCACCATGCGACACCACTTCCCTCCCACATCCACTGTCTGCTTCCTGAGACGTGGCCTACGGGTGAGAGCGGACTGGGACAGTGGGCCGTGGCGGGGGGGAGGAGTTGCTGGGGAATGAGGCTGTGTCAGGGTGCAAGGGGGAGCACGGCTGTGAGCAGGGGTATGGGGCTGTGGAGAGTGCATGGTAATGGGGCATATGGAGAAATGGGCCACTATCTGGGGGCTGGGGGAAGGGAGATGAAGAGAGAGCTCGTCTCTTCTCCACTTCTTCTACCCCAGTCTCACCCCCCAGCTCACTTCCCACGTCTCCCCCATGCTGCCTCCACAGAACTGCTCTGTCTGCCCTCGCCAGCTCCCTCATTCACACTGGGTCATGTGAAGCTGCCACCTGGTGGGGAGGGGGGGCGAGCGGGGACGTGGGAGGGGATGACGGAGGGGAGAGGAAACATGGGGAGGGAATGATGAGGGTGAGTGGGGACATGGGACGGGATGATGGGGGGTGAGCGGGAACATGGGGAGGGAATGATGGGGGCAAGCGGGAACATGGGGAGGGAATGATGGGGGGCGAGCGGGAACATGGGGAGGGAATGATGGGGGCAAGCGGGAACATGGGAGAGGATGACGGGGGGCAAGCGGGAACATGGGGAGGGAATGATGGGAGCGAGCCGGGGAGGGACTGATGGGGGAGAGGGGAATGATGGGGGAGAGTGGGGACGTGGGACGGGACGATGGGGCGTGAGTGGGAACATGGGGAGGGAATGATGGGGGTGAGCAGGGACATGGGAGAGGATGACGGGGGGTGAGCGGGAACATGGGGAGGGAATGATGGGGGAGAGCGGGGATGTGGGAGGGGACGATGGGGGGAGCAGGAACATGGGGAGGGAATGATGGGGGAGAGCCGGGACGTAGGACGGGATGGGGGGGGGGCGAGCGGGAACATGGGGAGGGAATGATGGGGGAGAGCGGAGATGTGGGAGGGAATGATGGGGGTGAGTGGAGATGTGGGAGGGAACGATGGGGGTGAGCGGGTATGTGGGAAGGGAAGACGGTGGGTGAACAGGGACACAGAAGGGGATGACAGGGGTGAGTGAGGACATGGGTGAGCGGGGACATAGGAGGGGAAGACGGTGGGTGAACATGGACACGGAAGGGGATGACTGGGTGACCGAGGACCTGGGCGAGCAGGGACGTGGGAGGAAATGACGGGGCGAGCGGGAACGTGGGTGGGGATGACGGGGGTGAGCAAGGATGTGGGTACAGTGCCAAAAGTGAAATCTCTGCAAGCTGTGTGGAAACTTTTTAAATACACCATAATAGAGGCTCAACTTAAATGTATACCCCAAATTAAAAAACATAGTGAGAGAACCAAAAAAGGGCCACCGTGGCTAAACAACAAAGTAAGAGGAGCAGTGAGAGGCAAAAAGGCATCCTTTAAAAAGTGGAAGTTAAATCCTAGTGAGGAAAATAGAAAGGCGCATAAAGGCTGGCAAGCAAAGTGTAAAAATATAATTAGGAAGGCCAAAAAAGAATTTGAAGAACAGTTAGCCAAAGACTCAAAAACTAATAGCAAATTTTTTTAAGTACATCAGAAGCAGGAAGCCTGCTAAACAACCAGTGGGGGCACTGGACGATCGAGATGCTAAAGGAGCACTCAAGGATGATAAGGCCATTGAGGAGAAACTAAATTAATTCTTTGCATCAGTCTTCACAGCTGAGGATGTGAGGGAGATTCCCAAACCCAAGCAATTCTTTTTAGGTGACAGATCTGAGGAACTGTCCCAGATTGAGGTATCATTAGAGGAGGTTTTGGAAAAAATTGATAAATTAAACAGCAATAAGTCAATAAGACCAGATGATATTCATCCAAGAGTTCTGAAGGAACTCAAATGTGAAATTGCAGAACTACTAACTGTAGTCTGTGATCTACCATTTAAATCAGCTTCTGTATCAGATGACTGGAGGATGGCTAATGTGACGCCAATTTTTAAAAAGGGCTCCAGAGGTGATCCCGGCAATTACAGGCCTGTAAGCCTGACTTCAGTACCAGGCAAACTGGTTGAAACTGTAATAAAGAACAATATTGTCAGACATATAGATGAACATAATTTCTTGAGGCAGAGTCAACGTGGTTTTAGTAAAGGGAAATCATACCTCACCAATCTGCTAGAATTCTTTGAGGGAGTCAACAAGCATGTGGACCAAGGGCATCCAGTGGATAAAGTATCCTTAGATTTTCAGAAAGCCTTTGACAATGTCCGTCAGCAAAGGCTCTTATGCAAAGTAAGCTGCCACAGGATAAGAGGGAAGGTGCACTTCTGGATTGATAACTGGTTAAAAGATAGGAAACAAAGGGTAGGTATAAATGGTCAGTTTTCAGAATGGAGAGAGGTAAATAGCAATGTCCCCCAGGAGTCTATTCTGGGCCCAGTCCTATTCAACATATTCATAAATGATCTGGTAAAAGGTGAGATGGCAAAATTTGTAGATGATACAAAATCACTAAAGATAGTTAAGACCTAGGCAGACTGCGAAGAACGACAAAAGGATCTCTCAAACCTGGGTGACTGGGCAACAAAATGGCAGATGAAATTTAACGTTGATAAATGCAAAGTAATGCACCTTGGAAAGTATAATCCCAACTATACATATAAAATCATGGGGTCTAAATTAGCTGTTACCACTCAAGGAAGAGCTCTTGGAGTCATTGTGGATAGTTCTCTGAAAACATCCACTCAATGTGCAGCAGCAGTCAAAAAAGCAAACAGAATGTTGGGAATCATTAAGAAAAGGATAGATAATAAGACAGAAAATATCATGTTGCCTCTATATAAATCCATGGTACACCCATATCTTGAATACTGTGTGCAGATGTGGTCGGCCCATCTACAAAAAGATATATTGATTTTGGAAAAGGTTCAGAAAAGGGCAACAAAAATGATTAGGGGTATGGAACAGCTTCCGTATAAGGAGAGATTAACAAGACTGGTACTTTTCAGCTTGGAAAAGAGATGGCTAAGGGGGGATATGATTGAGGTCTATAAAATCATGACTGGTGTAGAGAAAGCAGATATGGAAGTGTTGTTTACTCCTTCTCATAACACAAGAACTAGGGGTCACCAAATGAAATTAATAGGCAGCAGGTTTAAAAAAAATAAAAGGAAGTATTTCTTCATATAATGCAGTCAACCTGTGGAACTCCTTGCCAGAGGATGTTGTGAAGGCCAAGACCATAAGAGGGTTAAAAAAAAAAAGTAGATAAATTCATGGCTATTAGCCAGGATGGGCAGGAATGGTGTCCCTAGCCTCTGTTTGCCAGAAGCTGGGAATGAGGGACAGGGGATGGATCACTTGATGATTACCTGTTCTGTTCATTCTCTCTGGGGCACCTGGCACTGGCCACTGTCGGAAGACAGGATACTGGGCTAGATGGAGCTTTGGTCTGACTCAGTATGGCCATTCTTATGTTCTTATGTGGGTGAGCGGGGACATGGGAGGGAACAACAGGGGTGAGCAGGGATCTGGGAGGGAATGACGGGACTGAGGAGGGCATGTGAAGGGACAACGGGGGTGAGCGGGGACATGGGGAGGGGATGACGGGGTGAATGGGGACGTGGGAAGGGATGATGGGGGGTGAGTGTGGACATGGGAGGGAACAACAGGGGTGAGCAGGGACATGGGAGGGAATGATGGGGGTGAGCGGGGACGTGTGAGGGGAGAACCGGGGTGAGCGGGGACATGGGGAGGGGATCATGGGGTGAGTGGAGACATAGGGAGGGGATGACGGGGTAAGTGGGAACATCTGAGGGGAAGATGTGGGCAAGTGGGCGGAGGGGACGATAGGGGCAAGCAGGGATGTGGGAGGGGACGACGGGGGTGAGCAGGGATGTGGGAGGGGACGACGGGGATGAGCAGGGATCTGGGAGGGAATGACGGGACTGAGGGGGGCGTGTGAAGGGACAACGGGGGTGAGTGGGGACATGGGGAGGGGATGACGGGGTGAATGGGGACGTGGGAAGGGATGATGGGGGGTGAGTGTGGACATGGGAGGGAACAACAGGGGTGAGCGGGGACGTGTGAGGGGAGAACCGGGGTGAGCGGGGACATGGGGAGGGGATCATGGGGTGAGTGGAGACATAGGGAGGGGATGACAGGGTAAGTGGGAACATCTGAGGGGAAGATGTGGGCAAGTGGGGGGAGGGGACGATAGGGGCAAGCAGGGATGTGGGAGGGGACGACGCGGGTGAGCAGGGATGTGGGAGGGGACGACGGGGGTAAGCAGGGATGTGGGAGGGGACGACGGGGGTGAGCAGGGATGTGGGAGGGGACGATGGGGGTAAGCGGTGATATGGGGAAGGGGTGAGCGGGGCTGTGTGCAAACCCCTAATATGGATGCATCAGATCAGCACAAAGACAGGTATTAAGCAAGTTTCCAAATTACACCCCACTTTGTGCCAGTGAAGGACGTCTATATTAGGGGTTTGGACCAGAGAGTACATTGATGCAGTTGCAAAAGGGCAAATTCCCTTAACAGAGACCAGGCTTCACGTTCAGGAATTTACCCAATGAGGTAGGGCAGTGTTATCTGTAGCGGGGTCAGAACCCAGAATTCTCTGCCAAGGAAAATTCCACAATTAGGAAGGGAATTGCTCCGCATCAGAACAATATCTTGAAATGTCAGTTTCCCACGGACTGTAATTTTCAACACTGTTCAGAAAAATCAAAACAAGATTATGTTCCAACCTTTGCAAAATATTTCCCCAGCTCCCATCCTAGAAGCCCCAAGAATCCCAGCTCAAGCAGAGGCTTCCAGGGTCCCAGCTCCACAGCTGCCCCCCAGGCAGGGGGCTGGGAAGATGAGAGAGCGGACAGGAAACCAGGCTGGCTTCCCTCAGAAACCCACCTCCATTCCCACTCGCCACATTCCCGTGACACGTTTGGATTTGGATGAATCCAAAGGAGAAGCAGCCTGACCAGCTCCAGTGCTCACTCCTTTCACCCCGGGGGAACAAGGCACAGACAGGCTGACGGAACAAGCCTGGCAGAGCAAGGATTATAACCCCTCTCGCCTGACGCTTAGTTCTGCACTTTTAGCTCCAGCCCATTCTCCCGGAGGAAAGACCCTCCCCGCTGCACCCCAGTAGGTCTAGAGCACCAGTAGCTGCAGGGCCCAAGCAGTTTCTCTGTCAGCCTCTCCGTGGATTCCCTCCCATTCTCCAATGAGGTGATGACTGATGTGAAGTCTGCTTGTCCATTCTGGTACTCTGACCATGCCAGCTGGACTTGTGGGGGACTCAGCTCCCAACCACAGTCCCTGTTCAGTGCCACTCGTGGCTACCCCAGACCCAACGTCCAGGAGTGTCGTCCCTGACTGCTCCCTGTGGCTGTCGGCAGCCCCTGCAGAGCGTTTGGAGAGTGACATGCTAGTGATGGGCACAGTGCTGTCAGGTATGACGGTTAGCACCAGTTGTGAGAAATGAAGACCTGTAAAAAGGAGCCTGGCCTAAGCATGGAGGCATCTTCAGGGCTGCTGTGCCCCCAACTCCATCCACCTATAGGGAAAGTATGTTAAACTAGGTCACCACGGCTGGGGAAACAGTTCCTAGTCCACTGGCCTCCTGGGAGTGACCCCGCCGAGGAAAGACACGGCCACACCAGAACTGCTTGGCCAGCCCTCACCTCGGACAAGCATCTTGAGCCATCATCAGTGATGGAGCCATTTGCAGTGTGTCTCCTTCCTGCTCGCATTACAGTTCGAAGGGGAAATCCGTGCTCTGACCCGAATGATGGTCGATCCCAACGTTGCTGAGAAGAAAGGGGGAGGGAAGAATCTGCCGCTCAAACGAGGAGAGATTCTGGATGTCATTCAGTTTACGAGTCCCAAGAGACTACTCTGCCGGAACAACCAGTGGAAGTGTAAGTCTGAGGCGTTCCGGTGGCCAGTGTAATGCCTTGCTTCTCGGGTGGGTTGCTGGTACCAGGGATCGAACCGGGGATATAGGGCTCTGAAAAGCCCACACCGCCAGCACCTGAACTGACACACCCAGCTCTGTCAGCCCTGGCCGTAGGAGCTCATCAGCCTCTCCCTGTGACCCAGCCACCACTGGAGGGAGACAGTACCCCTGAGACAGTACCCCTGAGACAGTACCCCACGGAGACAGTACCCCTGAGACAGTACCCCGCGGAGACAGTACCCCACTGAGACAGTACCCTGCGGAGACAGTACCGCTGAGACAGTACCCCGCGGAGACAGTACCCCGCGGAGACAGTACCCCACGGAGACAGTACCCCGCTGAGACAGTACCCCGCGGAGACAGTACCCCTGAGACAGTACCCCGCGGAGACAGTACCCCTGAGACAGTAACCTGCTGAGACAGTACCCCACTGAGACAGTACCCCGCGGAGACAGTACCCCTGAGACAGTACCCCGCGGAGACAGTACCCCTGAGACAGTACCCCGCTGAGACAGTACCCCGCGGAGACAGTACCCCGTGGAGACAGTACCCCGCGGAGACAGTACCCCTGAGACAGTAACCCGCTGAGACAGTACCACTGAGACACAATACCCCGGAGACAGTACCCTGCTGAGACAGTACCACTGAGACAGTACCCCTGAGACAGTACCCCGCGGAGACAGTACCCCACGGAGACAGTACCCCGCAGAGACAGTACCACTGAGACAGTACCCTGCTGAGACAGTACCCCGCGGAGACAGTAGCCCGCTGAGACAGTACCCCGCGGAGACAGTACCCCTCGAGACAGTACCCCGCGGAGACAGTACCCCGCGGAGACAGTACCCTGCTGAGACAGTACCCCGCGGAGACAGTACCCCTGAGACAGTAGCCCGCTGAGACAGTACCCCGCGGAGACAGTACCCCTGAGACAGTACCCCTCGGAGACAGTACCCCGCGGAGACAGTACCCCTGAGACAGTACCCCACTGAGACAGTACCCCGCGGAGACAGTACCCCTGAGACAGTACCCCACTGAGACAGTACCACTGAGACAGTACCCCGCGGAGACAGTACCCTGCTGAGACAGTACCCCTGAGACAGTACCCCGCGGAGACAGTACCCCGCGGAGACAGTACCCCGGAGACAGTACCCCACTGAGACAGTACCCTGTGGAGACAATACCCCTGAGACAGTACCCCGCTGAGACAGTACCCCTGAGACAGTACCACTGAGACAGTACACCGTGGAGACAGTACTCCGCGGAGACAGTACCCTGCTGAGACAGTACCCCTGAGACAGTACCCCGCTGAGACAGTACCCCACTGAGACAGTACCCCACTGAGACAGTACCCTGTGGAGACAATACCCCTGAGACAGTACCCCGCTGAGACAGTACCCCTGAGACAGTACCGCTGAGACAGTACCCCGCTGAGACAGTACCCCGCTGAGACAGTACCCTGCTGAGACAGTACCCCGCTGAGACAGTACCCCTGAGACAGTACCCCGCGGAGACAGTACCCCGCGGAGACAGTACCCCCCTGAGACAGTACCCCCTGAGACAGTACCCCGCGGAGCGGGGGTGGGTTATGTGGACGTGGTATGCATGCCAGCTAGGCAGATATGGAGACGGGCTGTTAATGGCTCTTTCAGCAACCCCGGACAGTAAAACACCTGGCTTCATACCTGCATTTTGAACTGAAGGAAAATCTACGCCAGGAGACTGTGAAATCTGCCACTGGGGAGAACAGACCCAAGTTTTATCCTAGATCTCAAACATTTCCAAATTTAGGGGCCAAAAAGCTCAGTTCAGTGTCCTGCTTTTCCTTCCCCACAGCCCCAGCATTTGCTGAAAACCAGCTGGCGGCCTTGGCTGCTGACAGTCTGGCATCTCTCCTGGGCCAGCTGCAGCCTGCACATCGTAAGAGCTCCAGGGCTTCCTGGTGGGATGTGTGTGTGCCCGAGTGAGGGGGAGGGCCTCTTTCATCTCATTCCTGTCACAGCCAAGAGCCAGAGCCAAACCGTCCGTGCTGTGCCCAACGTGTCATTAAGAGGGGGGCTGCTGGCGGGCTGGGGATCCTGGGAATGGAGAGATGGAGCCTGGGGAAAGGACAAAGGAAATGGATGAGTGGGTTGGAGGAGGATGGGAAAGGGTTGAGTGGCTTGGAGGAGGATGGGAAGGGGATGAGGGGGTTGGAGGAGGATGGCGAAGGGATGCTCAGGAGGATTTGAATCCTGGGGGCTTCTCCAAAACTCCAGCCTGTTGGAGTTCTCGTTGCTCCAGTCACAAGACTCAAAATAGCCCTATTTCCACTCATGCACGTTCTGATTAAATGGGCCTTGGAGCCACCAGACGTCAGGGCCCTGCCACCACACTGGACCTTCTTCTTGGTCCTGTGGCTACCCCCAGCAGAGGCAGACTCTTCCCAGCCCTTCAACCTTCATAGCAGGTAGACTCTTCCCATCTCTTTCAGCACGGGGTGTCCTTTTCTAGACTGCCAGACTTTGCTAGTGAGATTCCAGCCAATAGGGCAGGCTGGGTGGAGCTTCCCTAGATCAAAGTGTCTCTCACTTTGCTGCCCCCTTTGGCCACTGCCAGAGACCACACTGGCTGCTCAACAGAGGATCCAGCTTAGCTTCTCCAGGCCAGTCTTGCTTTTGGTGCAGGCTTGCAGGGTTGTTACTGTTCTCCCTTGCACACCCAGATCTAGGGCCTGGCACTTACACCAGCCCCATACAGCCTGCGTCAGTCTCCAGTCCCAGCACTGACTTTCTGTGCATCCGTCTCCTGCCCTGCTCTGCTGCCCCCTCTGAGAGTGGACATTCTGCTGAGGTTGTGGCCCTCTAGGTCTGCTTGCCTGATTCCTTCACTGCCTGGGTGAGAATTTATATTTCCATTAAATGTGTTCCTTCTGCTGTCTGTTCCAGATGGCTACGTCCCCAGGGTGACGCTGCTGCAGCTGTGAGTACAGATACCTTTCTCTCTTGGTTAGACATTTATTTTCAAGCTCTAAAGATCAACCAGACTAGCTGACAATGGACAATAACAGGCCCAAAAAATGCCACCATGGCTAAACGACAGAGTAAAACAGGAAATTAGAGGCAAAAAGGCATCCTTTAAAAATTGGAAGTCAAATCCTAGTGAGGAAAATAGAAAAGAACGTAAACTCTAGCATGTCAAGTGTAAAAGTATAATCAGGCAGGACAGAAAAGAATTTTAAGAGCAACTACAAAAAGACACAAAAACTGACAGCAAAATTATTTTTAAGTACATCAGAAGCAGGAAGTCTGCCACACGATCAGTGGGGCCACGGGACAATCCAGGTGCTAAAGGAGCATTCAGGGAAGACAAGGCTGTTGCAGAGAAGTGAAATGAATTCTTTGCATCAGTCTTCACTGGAGAGGATGTGAGGGAAAGTCCCAAACCTGAGCCATTCCTTCTAGATAACAATTCTGAGGAACTGTCCCAGATTGACCTGTCAATAGAGGAGATTTTGGAACAAATTGATAAACAGTAATAAGTCACCAGGACCAGATGGTATTCACCCCAAGAGTTATGAAGGAACACAAATGTGAAATTGCAGAACTGTGTTCTGCAACCTAACATTTAAATCAGACTCTGTACCAGATGACTGGAGGATAAATAATGCAATGCTGATTTTTTAAAAAGGCTCCAGAGGCAATCCTGGCAATTACAGGCCGGTAAGCCTAACTTCAGTACCAGCAAATTTGTTAAAACTATAGTAAAAAAGAGAATTATCAGACACATAGATGAACATGATTTGTTGGGGAAGAGTCAACATGGTTTTTGTAAAGGGAAACCATGCCTCATCAATCTACTAGAATTCTCTGAGGCAGTCAAGAAGCATGTGGACAAGGGGGATCCAGTGGATATAGTATACTTAGATTTTCAAAAAGCCTTGGACAAGGTCCCTCACCAAAGGCTCTTTAGCAAAGTAAGCTGTCATGGGATAAGAGGGAAGTGCCTCTCCTGGATCAGCAAATGGTTAAAAGATAGGAAACAAAGGGTCGGAATAAATAGTTTTCAGAATGGAGAGAGGTAAATAGTGGTGTGCCCCAAGGATTTGTACTGGGACCAGTCCTGTTCAACATAGTCATAAATGATCTGGAAAAAGGGGTAAACAGTGAGGTGGCAAAATTTGCAGATGATACAAAACTACTCGAGATAGTTAAGTCCAAAGCAGACTGCAAAGACTTACAAAGGGATCTCACAAAATGGGGTGACTGGGCAACAAAATGGCAGATGAAATTCATTGTTGATAAATGCAAAGTAATGCACATTGAAAACATAATCCCAAGTACACATATAAAATGATGGGGTCTAAATTAGCTGTTACCACTCAAGAAAGATCTTGGAGTCATTGTGGATAGTTCTCTGAAAACATCCACTCAATCATAGAATGATAGAATATCAGAGTTGGAAGGGACCTCAGGAGGTCATCTAGTCCAACCCCCTGCCTAGAGCAGGACCAATCCCAACGAAATCATCCCAGCTAGGGCTTTGTCAAGCCTGACCTTAAAAACTTCTAAGGAAGGGGATTCCACCACCTCCCTAGGTAACGCATTCCAGTGTTTCACCACCCTCCTAGTGAAAAAGTTTTTCCTAATATCCAGATGATGGGATGGATCACTCAATAATTGCCCTGTTCATTCCCTCTGAAGCATCTGGCCCTGGCCACTGTTGGAAGACAGGATAATGGGCTAGATGGACCATTGATCTGACTTACTATGGCCATTCTTATGTTCTTATGACCTTGATATATTAGGCATCACTGAAACATAGTGGAATGACACAGCTCACTGGAACACGGGCCGACTACCCCAGGAGAATAGGTCAGGTTGTGGAGGTGGGAGAGTAGCGCGTTACCACAAAGAAATCATCTGAAAAACTCTTTAATCTGCATTAGTCTAAGGATGTCCGGGAGAGACCATCCTGCACCTAGTCTTTTCAGGTACAAAGCTGAGATGCTGTCTGGTATTTAAGGTGTCACAAGGGAGCATACTGGATCAAACCGATACATTAGAGATCAGCAAATCCTCACGACGGGTTGGTCTATCTGTGAGTTCTGGACACTTGCCCAGCTCTGTCCAGTGACCGGAATGGTCTGACACGGATGGCAACACACCAAGAGTAGCCCACATCAGCCCATTCACTCAGCAACTTGGAAGGGACCCTCCCTGTCATGCAGCAGACTGTGGGGTTCTACAGTCCCTTGGGTTATAGAGGCAGAGCCTGGAAGGCACCAAGACCCAGATCTCAAAGGTCTGAAATTTTGGAGGATTTGTGCTCAATATCTTTAGCCTATCAGCTCCTCCTGTGACTTGTGAGCAGGCTTAGTCCACCTGTTACTCTCCAGCCTGGAGGATTCCTTCTGTGAGTGAGAAAAATGGATAAAGGAGACTTTTAGATGACGTAATTTTGAAGCCTCTGACAAAGTCTCTCCAATGAGGCTACAAAAGAAGGGAAGGGGAAGGGAAGGGAAGGAAGGGAAGGGAAGGGAAGTAGTTGCAGTCCGAGAGGTGATGTATTATCATGGATCTAAAGCTGTCTGAGACAAAAACAAAGAGGAGGAATCAGTGGTTAGTTTTCAGCACAGGAAAGGTTCAACAGGGGGATGTCCCAAAGTCCTGTAAATGGACCACTGGTATTTCATAGCCTTAGTAGTGGTCTTGAAAAGAGGGCGAATGCCATTTATAGATGACATAACATGAAATAGGTTACTCAAGACTCGAGAAAAATGTGAGGAACTTTAGAGGGAGCCAACAAAGGTAGGTGAATGGATAGCACAATGGCAGATGGAATTCACCATTGACAAAGGCACCGTAGTGGACATTGGAGGGGATGATTAGATGACTCATACACATTCATCATCAATCACACGTAGTCTACGACGGACCACTGCGCCAGCCAAAGTGACCAAGGGTGATGGTGTTGCACTTGGCTTTGTGTAGTGAAGTTCCCAGATGTGGTTCAATCCCGTGAATCCACGAATCTCTGGGGTGGCCTGGCACCGGGTAGGGTCAGAGCGCACACCCCTTTGCGTGTCAGTGCAGATTTTGAGAGCTCAGGGTGCAGGGATGTTTTTGTCCATCCTGGCCACACAGCTGAAGAACATGCAACACCACTGCTGAATATAATGAGCAGCTGAAGGAAGGCCAAGTCTTTGCGAGACTGTGACATTTTGCACAGTCAAACCACTTGATGCTCAGGATTTGGTGCTGACAGTGCATATGGACTGCCTCTAGCTGTTCCAAGTCTGCCTATAAGAGGGTCCAGGTCTCTGACTCATATAGCAATACAGATGGTACACAGGTCTGCTAGATCCTACATATTGACAGGTTCTAACGCAATATTAGCTTGCATAAGGAATGTGACTGAAGATAATGCTGAAAATGCTATAATGCCAGTATATAAAAAAGGGAAGGCTCTGAGTTACTACAGTGAATTCTTTCCATGTGTCTGGCTGGTAGGTCTTCCCGACATGCTGAGGATCTAACTGATCACCATATTTGGGGTCAGGAGGGAATTTCCCCCCCAGTCAAATTGGCAGAGACCCTGGGGTTTTTTGCCTTCCTCGGCAGCATTGGGCACGGGGCACTTGCTGGTTTAAACTAGTGTAAATGGTGGATTCTCTGTAACTTGAAGTCTTTAAATCATGATTTGAGGATGTCAGTAACTCAGTCAGAGGTTCTGGGCCCATTGCAGGAGTGGCTGGGTGAGGTTCCGTCGCTTGTGATGTGCAGGAGGTCAGACTAGATGTTCACAATGGTACTTTCTGGACTTAAAGCCCATGAGTCTATGTAAATCAGTACCCCTCCCCGCCTCAGAGAGCTGTGTTCAGTTCTGATGTTTCATATCCATCTCCAAAGGCTGCCGAGGAAATAGAGAGAGATTCAGAGACAGGCCACAAAATTGATTTAGAGGCCTGGAAACCTCTCCTGTGAAACAAGATTGAAAATATAGCGACAGTTAAATCCAGACAGGAGACAAATCCAGAAGGGACATGAGAGAGGAACAGAAAATAACAAATGGCTTAGGGAAAAGAAAAGGAGTACTAGTGGCACCTTAGAGACTAACCAATTTATTTGAGCATAAGCTTTCGTGAGCTACAGTTCACATCGATGAAGTGGGCTGTAGCTCACAAAAGCTTATGCTCAAATAAATTGGTTAGTCTCTAAGGTGCCACAAGTACTCCTTTTCTTTTTGCGAATACAGACTAACGCGGCTGCTACTCTGAAACCTGGCTTAGAGAAAGTCAGACACCCATTCCTATTTGCCCTTTCTTATAATGCAAGAAATCAAAAAGTAAGACATTGGAAAATGATAAAAGGAAGTACATGATGCAAAATTAACCCATAGAACTAGCTGCCACTACATACCACTGAGACCAAGAGCCCTGGAGGATTCACAAAAGGACTGGACCTTTACTATGGATAATGAGAACACCATTGTTACATTAGAAACGTATACCACCTGTGTCAGGCCTCATCTGGAGTATGTGTCCAGTTTTGGGCCCCACGCTACAAGAAGGATGTGGAAAAATTGGAAAATGTCCAGCGGAGGGCAACAAAAATTATTAGGGGACTGGAGCACATGACTTATGAGGAGAGGCTGAGGGAATTGGGATTGTTTAGTCTGCGGAAGAGAAGAATGAGGGGGGATTTGATAGCTGCTTTCAACTACCTGAAAGGGGGTTCCAAAGAGGATGGATCTAGACTGTTCTCAGTGGGAGCTGATGACAGAACAAGGCGTAATGGTCTCAAGTTGCAGTGGGGGAGGTTTAGGTTGGATATTAGGAAAAACTTTTTCACTAGGAGGGTGGTGAAACACTGGAATGCGTTACCTGGGGAGGTGGTGGAATCTCCTTCCTTAGATATTTTTAAGGTCAGGCTTGACAAAACCCTGGCTGGGATGATTTAGTTGGGGATTGGTCCTGCTTTGAGCAGGGGGTTGGACTAGATGACCTCCTGAGGTCCCTTCCAACCCTGATATTCTATGATTCTATGACAGGACACTGGGCTAGAAGGACCTTGGGTCTGATCTGGTCTTGTTATTCCCATGTTCCTATGCTCTGTATTTAAAGCTTTTTTAACTTGTTACATGCCCGTGTGACTCTGCCTCTACCTGTCCATGGCTTCCCAGAGACACATGAGAGAAGCGAAACAGCTGTCCAAAGGCCATAAATCTCACAGTACCTTGTTCTTTTCAATCGTAGGGACACTGACATTTACGATGACGTTGCCTTTTGTGGTAGGTATCCAAATTAACCCCACTTCCCCTTCCCCACCCCAGATTCAGAGGTGACTACAGGGCTAAGCGCTTGTAATTTACAGTGAGACAAGTAGCCTAGCTCACTGGAGATATTTGAGTCTGGATATGATGCCTCCTGCCCACCTCCCATCATGGCTAGTGGCATTAATTTCATCTGCAGGGGAGTAGAGCAGATCCTTTGCAATGCAGAGACTGCTCTGTGGAGGGTCCTACCAGACCTGCCCATGTTGGGCCGCCAAATATGCGTACTATTTGCTTATTAATAGTAGATAGGAATTTGAGTATATTACATTGCCCAGTCTCCAGGAACCAGACAGCAGGCTCACCCTTGCCCTCTCCAGGATCTCACTCCCCTTCTCCCTTCTTTGGGGTTTCCTTCTCCCCAGTCTCTCTTCCCTGAGAGACCCCATCTCTCTCTCTCCTCCCCAGAGGTTTCTGAGCTCCTGGCAAGTTTGACCTGCTTTGTTTCCCTTCTCATATGGCTTTCCCCCACTGTCTCTTCAGCTCACCCCCTCTGCCCACCTCCCTTGAATCCACAAAGAACCACATGAGAGCAGATCCACTCTTTGCCGCTTTTATGAGAGCAGATGTTACTGGTTGGGCTGGCTGAGCCCTTTCACCTTTTCCTGGCCAGTTGTTCAGTGAGTTCGCTAACTCTGACTGCTCCCCGGCAGACATGTAGAGTGGGAACTGGGGAGAAAAGCTCTGCATACCTACACGGATGGGTGGGTGCAGATCTGCTCTGTACAGCAGATCTTTAGTTATTAGCTCTCTAATGGATACATATATTCTCTGCTTATCTTCCTCAGATGAAATTAATTCTTCCACCAAAGTCAGCAAGTGATTTCACCAGCAGAGGGGGGAGGCTGTGAGGACAGAAACATGAAAACATTAAATGCAAGTTTCCTTCTTCGAAATGGGAGTTGCCTTCTCCACAGTTAGTGTTCCAAAAGCAACGTGTCCTTTGTAACATGGCAGGGTGGTTCATTTTTTAATATGTTGGGCTTCTGGAAGGATTTTGCCCCGCATTCAGCAAAACTACTCAAAAGTAGGACAGGAACCACAATAGTGTTCAGAGAAACAGGTTACAAGTGAGCTGCAAATAAAGAATCTGCTGTGTGTCTTGTTTTTGTCTATGTAAAGTATGGTGATGACCTGAGAGTTTTTTTGGGGTTTTTTTAATTTTGCTGGTTGTTTAGCTTAGAAATCCAGATCTCGTCCGTCTTGTTTTTCCTGAGAAGAATCTGATATCTCTGCTTCCAAGTATGTGAAGCCTCAGCAACTTAGGGCTGGTCTACACTGGCAATTTACTGTAATTGTCTACACTGGCAATTGAAAAAACACCCCCTCTGAGTGCAGCAAGTTTCAGCGCTAGTGTAGACAGTGCCCCACTACTGGTAGCTACGCCCCTCATGGAGGTAGTTTTCTTAGAGCTCTTGGAGAGCTCTCTCCCAGCGCTGCACCGCGACCACACAAACCACGCTAAAGCACCGCCAGCGGAGACTAGCCCTGAGAAGGGACGGAGAGTCCAGTAACACTGAGTTACACAGGTGCAAATACAAAACCCAGTTGGGAGGAAGGATATCTTTGTTAATGATTCAAAGCCCCATCCCTTGAACTGAGATCTGAGAAGGCTCCTGCTCCATTTCTGCCACCCGCTAAGGTGGCATGTAGCAAAACTAGGAAAGGCCAAACAGGATAGTCCTGATAGCTTGAGGGGAAAGACAAGGGGAGTTTTCAAAAACCATTTAGGCCTTGATAGCTCAGAATGGAATAAAAAGGGACAAGCCCCATTTCTTGTTCTTTGCAAGTGAGCTCGTGACAATCCAGTTGAGTCTTCCCCTGGCAGCTGGCCACAGAGAGATAGAGGTTGATCTTGTGATTAAAGCCCTGTCCTGGGATTTGGGAGATTTGGTTTCAGTTCTTGGCTCTGCCACAGACTCCCTGTACAATCTTTGTACCGTGCTCTGCCTTGTTTCCCATTTGTGAAATGGGGAAACTGGTTCTTCTTCTGTCTCTCCTGTTTGATTGTGAACCCTTCGGGGCAGGGACTGTCCCTTACTATGTATATGTACAGCGCCTAGCACTGTGGGGCCTGAACTTGGCTGGGGCCTCTAGGCACCACTGCAAGACAAATAAAGATACTAATACCCTGCCGCCTTTCAGTACCTAATTAACAACATTCTTTGAGGCATCCTAGACCAAAATGTGGTTGCATATCTGGATGATATTCTAATGTACTCCAAAAAGAAAAGGAGTACTTGTGGCACCTTAGAGACTAACCAATTTATTTGAGCATAAGCTTTCATGAGCACGAAAGCTTATGCTCAAATAAATTGGTTAGTCTCTAAGGTGCCACAAGTACTCCTTTTCTTTTTGCGAATACAGACTAACACGGCTGCTACTCTGAAACCTGCCGTAATATACTCCAGTGACCAAGCAAGCCATGACCAACATGTCTGCAAAGTTCTCACAAGATTACACCAGCATGAGTTGTGCGCAAAGCTGGAAAAGAGCAATTCAATAAGTGATCCTCACATTTTGGGGGTTCATCCATCAGCAGGAGGGCTATGGATGGATCCTCAGAAGGTGTCAGCGGCTCAGGACTGGGCAGAGCTCTGGATTATTTGACACATTCAGAAATTCATGGGATTTGCCAACTTCTATAGATTTATCTCCGACTTTTCAAACGTCACATTTCCCATAACCACCATCCTTCATAAACCTGCTAAATTTCACTGACTTCCCGAGGCCTGTCGAGCTTTTGAACTTGTGAAGGTAGACTTCACCTCAGCCCCAGTGCTAGCCCACTCTGACCCCAACCAATCTTTTATCCTTAAAACTGATGCCTCTGATGTAGACATTGGGGCGGTACTGTCCCAAAGAACGGGGTCCCAACAGGAGATGCATCCCTGTCCTTCCCCCCCCCCCTCAAAAACTTACTTCAGCTGAATGCAATTATGAAATAGCTGACAAGGAATTACTCACAATCAAGGCAGGGCTCAAGACATGGCAACTCTACCTCAAAGGGGCAAAACACCCCATACTAGTCTTAACAGATCACAAAAACCTGGAATATATATGATCCATCAAGGCTGTGAATCAGCAGCTGTTATGCTGGGCCTTGTTCTTTTCAAGGTTTGACTTCACAATCGCTTACTGCCCAGGCCACAAAAAGGGTAAGGCAGATGCCCTTTCACGGAAGGGAGATAACTATATGGAACCTGTGAATCCCGAAGAACCACCACCCAACATAGTAAAACCACACCTTTGCCTTTGTGGAACTGTCATCGGGCTTCTTTACCTCACGTCAAGTAGCTCTTCCTCATGGTCCTTTTGTAAAGCTCGTAACATTATCCAAGGAGGGCCTCCTTGGGACCACCCTACACCATTACTTCTGGTCCGACAAGCTCTTCTATGTTAATGACCACCTGTATATCCCCGAGGGTCCCCTGTGACTCGAGGTACTGCACATTCACCATGCCACCCCTTGGGTGGGTCAGTTTGGACAGTCCTAGACTTGGCGTGCAGTAGCTCGCTCATTCTGGTGGCTGCAGATGCAGGATGATGTGAGGTCCTATGACACCTGCACTCTAAGACCTCCAAAAGCAAGTCTTTCAGCCTGATACCATCCAAAACCTCTTCCTGACCATGGTCAGATATAACTCTTGATTTCTTAGTCGTACAGAAGCAGAACAACACAATATCATATTAGCCATATTCGATCAGCTCACCAAAATGGTGCATCTTCTTCCACGTGTACACCTCTCAAACACAGATACTACCCACAACTCCTAATTATGCATGCTTTTCAACTCCATAGTCTCCCCAATCATCTTACCGCAGATTGGGGCTCTCAGTTGACATCCAGGTTTTGGAAGGAAACGTTTCACCTCCTGGATTTCCGTTCTCATACATCCACCTCCCATCAGCCCCAGACAGCTGGCCAATCAAAACAAGTCAACCAGGTACTTGAGCAGTAGCTACACAGTTTCCTGAACCAATGCCAAAATCACTACATTGCATTACTCCCATTAGCCGAATTTACTTATAATAATGCAAAACATGCTTCTACCAAATTCAGTCCTTTTTACTCCAAGTATGGTTTTCATCCATGGCTCCATCCCTCTGTCCCCCACCACCTGTGGCAGTTTCTGCTGCCTCAGATCTGGTACAGTCTATTCATAAGATCCTAACCTAAAGGAGCACGTAGAGCAGGGGTGGGCAAACTATGGCCTGTGGGCCAGATCCGGCCCGCCAGCCGTTTTAAGCCAGCCCTCGAGCTCCCGCTGGGGAGCGGGGTCAGGGGCTTGCCCTGCTCCGGCACTCTGGCGCTCCAGCCAGGGAGCAGGGTCAGGGACCACTTCATGCTGCCCCCGGAAGCAGCGGCATGGCCCCACTCCAGCTCCTATGTGTAGGGGCAGCCACGGGGCTTCACTCTGTATGCTGCCCCCACCACAAGCGCCACCCCCAGAGCTCCCATTGGCCAGGAACTGCGGCCAATGGGAGCTGCAGGGGCAGTGCCTGCAGACAGGGCAGCACGCAGAGCCACCTGGCCTTGGTTCCGTGGAGGAGCCGGAGAGGGGACATGGCCGCTGCTTCCGGGAGCCGCATGAGGTAAGCACCGCCCAGACCCTGCACCCCTGAGCCTCCCCATGGCCCAACTCCTGCCCCAGCCCTGACCCCTCTCCCGCCCTCCGAACCCCTTGATCCCAGCCCAGAGCACCCTCCTGCACCCCAAACCCCTCATCCCCAGCCTCACCCCAGAACCCATACCCCCGGCCGGAGCATCAACCCTTTCCCACATCCCAACCCCCTGCCCCAGCCCTGATCCCCCTCCCACCCTCTGAACCCCTCGGTCCCAGCCCAGAGCACCCTCCTACACCCCAAACTCCTCATGCCCAGCCCCACCCCCAACCCTGCACCCTACTCCCCCACCCCAGCCCCGAGTCCCCTCCTGAACTCCACATTTCTGGCCCCACCCTGGAGCCCACATTCCCAACCAGAGCCCTCACCCTCTCCCATACCCCAACCCCAATTCTGTGAGCATTCATGGCCTGTCATACAGTTTCTATTCCCAAGTGTGGCCCTTGGGCCAAAAAGTTTGCCCACCCCTGATGTAGAAGCTGCCAAAATAGCCTACAAATGTCACACTGACAAAAACTGCCAAGAGGCCCCACCTCGGAAGGATGGTCAAAAAGTACGGCTGTCCACTAAATGTCTAGATTGGCCAATCTGCACACAAATTGGGCAACTGAAACACAGGCCCTTACCCCATTCTTCGGCAAATCAATCTGGTGGCATTTGAATTGATCCCTCGATTCTGAAAGGTCCATCCAGCATTTCATGGATGCCTCCTGAAGCTGTTCCTGGATGATCTGGTTCCACTACCGCTGCCCCCCATTCGCGTCCAGGCCCACAAGGACTATGCACTTCGGAACGTGCTGGGTTCCCAGACGCAGAAAGTGCCGCACTGTTTGCTTCTCTGGGGAGGTTAGGGGCCTGAAGAACGTCCTTGGAGCCAGCCCATCATGTTCATGCCCCTGCAAAACCATGGGCCGCCCTGAAAAAAGCTTCACCCGAAGGTACCTCTCCAGGGGGAGGGCAGGTGTCAGTCACTAGAGGTCTCGACCCCAGGCTGGTGGGTTTAGTAAGTAGGAGCCTTACTCACTACACCACCAGGCTGCAAGGCCACTGCAGGAAACTGTCGCTGATGCCCCACGACAGAGGCTACTGCTGACTCAGTGGGATCAGCTGAGTAGTTCTTAACATAAAGCTTCCTGTTCCTGTCAAACACCTGTTGGCCAGACCCCCGAGACCAAGTTCCTGCTCCCTTGTCCGAACCCCAGTCACGACTCTGGCTTTGACCCTGGGCGTGGCTTCTCCCTGGGATACTGCTTTGACCCTGTGTGTGATTCTGGCCCAAGACCATGGCTGTTGGAATTATTAATAATATTTGAAATCACTATTAATATGGGAAAACACCAATTTAACTGTAAATTCCTTTATTAAATCCAAAGGCCAAATGGTACTTTGAGCAGCTGCTCTAAACATGCCTAAAAAGCCTAACTAATAAGTAATTTACTACACTCAAACAGTAACAAAAATTTTCTAAGAATTTGTTCAAGATACTCACAAATGGGCGAACCCCAGAGGTGCTTAGACCCTTATTGGTCAGCTCCAGCATGGTCAGGCAGGTATTAGCAATGAACCCTTTCAGAAATTACTCTTTATACCCTTTAACAAACAAGTTGTTGGGGACACTGGGGCATGGCCACTAGGTAACTCGAGGGGATGGAAGACCACGAGTGTCGATGAAGCCCCCTCGCACTAGGCCCAGGTGTCCTTGGCCCCCCCTCCCGCCTTGAGGCACTCACAGCAGCTCTGCGTACTAGGCCCAAGTGTCCTTGGCCCCCCCGCCTGGAGGCACACACAGCAGTTATGCTGAGAATCTGCAACAATATGTTCCAGAGTCAGACTGCCTGAAACTAAACAAGGCCACACAGGGCAGATATGGAAGAACAATGTTGAATAAAGCAGCTTTATGTATAGTTTAACAAATGATACAGAGAACCAGGGAACTAGCTGGGAACTGGATTGGCTGGTGTGACGAAGTGGGACTGTTCTTAACGTTTCCTCTGAATAGTGTGGGGGTGCCTCAGTTTCCCCTAGGCAGTTCTTAAGTATCTGGGGGTGGAGTAAGGGTGTATGATCATTGCAGAGCCCTAGAGGGCAGGTGTGTGCAGGAGTCTGGACACAGAGAATGGCCGACACCCTGTTTCCTGGCAACTGATGGCCTGGGCCCTTCCCCCCCTGCAAGGTGAGAGCTAAAGGGTTGGAGAACAAAGGAATCAGGTGACCATCTGGCCCGGGAAAGGAACAAAGCCCAGAGGAGGAGGGGCTGGAGGGGGTTTTCAGTTTGGGGCTGGCTGGGACATGGAGTGAAGTGCAGACGTGGTTGTCTGGCTCACTGCCCCCCAAAATGGACCCAGCTGAGGGGTCCCGTTCTCTGCACCTGCAAGCTCTGTTTTAGACCATGTTCCTGTCGTCTAATAAACCTTTCTGTTTTACTGGCTGGCTGAGAGTCACGTCTGACTGCGGAGTTGGGGTGCAGGACCCTCTGGCTTCCCCAGGAGCCCCGCCTGAGCGGACTCGCTGTGGGAAGCGCACGGAGGGCCAGAGGATGCTGAATGCTCCGAGGTCAGACCCAGGAAGGTGGAAGCTGTGTGAGCTGCGTGTCCTGAAGACAGGCTGCTCACAGAAAGGCGACTGCCCCAGAGTCCTGACTGGCTTCATGGGGAGCAGTTCCAGAGCATCGCCCAGGGACTCCGTGACAGCTGGCTGGCTATATGGATACTTGGGGCAGCTTGCTGTTGGATAAGTATGCTGGGAAAAAGGATGTATAAAAGCCTGTGTAACTTCCTGCTCTGTGTACAGGATTTGAGATTCAAATCTCCCTGTACCTTTTTGAAGCTTCAAATAAACTTTTCTGCTTCTCCACCCTGTTGTGATTATTGGGTGTAGCACACCAGGTAACGAACCAACTTCAGCTGTTGTTTAGCCTCTTGGCACTGGGTGCCGGCAACAAAGTGATGTTATTGCCAATGATTGACCGTCTAAAAACCAATCTGAGATAGTTCCCCCTTATTTCCAGTCTTAATCCAGATAAGATTTACAACTGCCTTTCTCCCCAAGGCCTTCCTTCTACTTGAGTCAGGGTCTTTCTTTGGAGCACAGATATATTTCCTTAACCAAAGCTAAATTAACTTTAATTCTTTAATTGTATACTTATCCTGCAACAACTCTTCTCTGGGCTTTTTATCATGTATGAGCCCTGACAGATCTTTTCTGACCCTTCTGGGCGCACGGGGGATTATTGGAAGGCACTCAAGGACGAGCACCACTGGCATGGAGCAAGCCTGTGCTCACGCTGCGTAATGGTTGTGTTAGCAGCCGACAAATTATGCTCACTTGGGCTATGCCCCTGGTGAGCCAGCTTACTCAAGCAAAGAGGTTTAGCATGGGGACAGGATTCAAGTTGACTTGAGTTAACTTTGCAGTGAAGGCAAGCCCTAAGATATGATTACATCAAGGGACACTGCTCCTAACAAGACCTCCTGTGGACCTCGGTATTTTCCATCTGTCTTGTAACAGGCTTTGCTAAGCTTAACAGTTGCACAGTTTTAGCTCTCTGTTCACACATTTCTGACAATACCGTGTTTTACCTAAAGAAAACTTATCTTTGCATTAAGAAAAGGAGGACTTGTGGCACCTTAGAGACTAACCAGTTTATTTGAGCATAAGCTTTCATGAGCTACAGCTCACTTCATCGGATGCTTATGCTCAAATACATTGGTTAGTCTCTAAGGTGCCACAAGTCCTCCTTTTCTTTTTGTGAATACAGACTCACACGGCTGCTACTCTGAAACCTATCTTTGCATTATAGCTTTAGAAAATCTTGTAATATCTCAGGTGACTGTATCTTTCACATCACCCTTAGGTGTTGTATAGGTTGGGATCTTGGTACTACTTTAATTCTTTGATTTGCCTTATTAATGATCATAGTGAATATTCTTAGTTTTGCAAATCTCTCTTATGCTGCAGAGACCCTTATATTGATCCATCAGTGGGACTTTGGGGCTACAGTAAGAACAAAAGCTGCAGGATCTAATTATGATTAAACAAAGATATTGCAGGGGCACCCAGAGGCCCCAGACAGGCCTTGTTATATTAGGGACCAAGAAGGAAATGTGCAGATCTCGGTTCTCATGATCCAAGTTCCAGTCACTGCTGTCAGCCTACTAAAGCCCCAGTGTGTGGGGACGCTCGACCTGTGACCCTGTGCAAAGCTCGTACACCCCAGTGAAAGCTCTGTAGGATCGACCATCCAGGACTAGCTTCCTGGGCAGTGTGAACGTCCTCTAACCTCTCTGATTCCATGTCCACGGGGAGCGCTGCGGAGAGTGTACCTGGTGCAACCACATAGCAATGAAGGGGTTAACCTATGCATGTTTTTGTCATCAACCTTTCTTCCAGCCAGCTAGAAAGCTTGGATTAACTAGTCTAACATGTCACTTTCCATTAAGGCGAATGGGTCCCAAATAGCAGTATAACACTGGTTCTCCCTTTGGTATTATGTGAGAGAGAGTTCTCTGATTCTGATCTGGTTTCTGGTGGGTTCTGAACCTGGCAAAGGGAAATGATTCTGCAGAACAAGAAAGATCACTAATGATGACTACTAGCAACCTTGGGAATATTAGCAGCATCAAAGAGACATTTTGCTCGGAGTGGAACTTTCTGGACCTCTGAAGAGGATCATGTGGGAACGTATTAAAAAAGCCTTGTTAAACTCACTTTCCGTTAGCTGCTCGGCCATCTGGAACTGGATCCGAGCTTTCTGGAGAAAGAATGGCCTCTTGACTCTTTCGATGCTCTCTGTTGTAACTGGATGCCTGCTCGGATTTTCGCTAAGCGTTCTGGAGCTGACAGAGCTGGTAAGTGGCAGAAACACGTTGTATGTGCAAAAAAATTGGGGTGGGATCACAGGTGGACTGGGGGGGGGGGTGTTTCAAACTCCTCAGTGTAAAGAAGCTGTTGCTATAACACTTCTTTTGTGTAGAAATGTGTTAAGCTGCACTAAATTAAACCTCACACTATGAATTGTGCAGAGGAAAACACCCGCTCATCTCATCCCTGCTCCCCAGCAGAGCTGTAGCCGCAGAGCCAGCCCATTAGCAGGCTCTCTTAGAACTAATGCTTATTTATTTTCACAAAAGGTACTGATTGGCACAGCCTGAAGGTTTGCATAGGAATCCAACCTAAACTGCAACTGCCAGACTAAAGGCCCCTTTGGTGGGGAATCCTCCATGCAGTCTCAACGTTTCTCCACTTACTGATCTACAGAAATCATTCACTCACAGTGGGGCAAACCCTGCCCCTCCCTCTGCTAGGGCGGTGTCCCTGTCTGAGGAACCAGTGCAGTTCCATTGCACAAGATGGGGACAGGGCAAGCCAGCATGGTATGCAGCCCAGTTCTGCAAGGGCTCCTTGTCTGGCAGTGTGCAGATAGGTGTAGGACACTGTGTCCAGTTTTGGGCCCCACACTACAAGAAGGATGTGGAAAAATTGGAAAGAGTCCAGCGGAGGGCAACAAAAATGATTAGGGGGCTGGAGCACATGACTTATGAGGAGAGACTGAAGGAACTGGGCTTATTTAGTCTGCAGAAGAGAAGAATGGGGGGCGGGATTTGATAGCTGCTTTCAACTACCTGAAAGGGGGTTCCAAAGAGGATGGATCTAGACTGTTCTCAGTGGTAGCTGATGACAGAACAAGGAGTAATGGTCTCAAGTTGCAGTGGGGGAGGTTTAGGTTGGATATTAGGAAAAACTTTTTCACTAGGAGGGTGGTGAAGCACTGGAATGGGTTCCCTAGGGAGGTGGTAGAATCTCCTTCCTTAGAGGTTTTTAAGGTCAGGCTTGACAAAGCCCTGGCTGGGGGATGATTTAGTTGAGGATTGGTCCTGCTTTGAGCAAGGGGTTGGACTAGATGACCTCCTGAGGTCCCTTCCAACCCTGATATTCTATGATTCTATGACATGGGTAGGTAAGGGGAGAGGCAGGGCTAGCTTACCCAGTGCTGTCTGGTCTTTCCCTGGGAGAGGCTACGCCAAGTTACTCCACCAAGGAGCTACAGCAGCCTTGGGAAATAGTTCATTTCACCACCCCCTCTCCACACATCTGCCCTGTTCCTGGTTCAGTTACTCAGGCTCGCTGCTGGGGGCAGGATTTTCTCCACTGTGCAAATGAGCCAGGTTCTGTTGTCATAGTACTTAGCACATGCATAGCGCTTTACATCTCTGTCCAAAGTCTGAGGAATCCTCCCACCAGCTCTGGGAAGTGTGTCAATAAATAGTGAGCCCCATTATAGGGATCTGGCAACTGAGATGAAGAGATTTGCCCAAAGCCACACCACTAGTCAGTGGCAGAGGTGGGATTAGAATTTAGCAATTTCTGATACCTGCCATCATGCTGCCTCTTGTCTGTGAGCTTCTTGTAGAGGAATTAACTGAGCCAAAATGTAATATACTAATCCGATCTTTCAGCATTTCCCAGGACCCTTTGGACCATGGACAAGGAATCTGGCTCTGATGCAGTGCTAATGAATAACATAAATTAAAAATACGTGTTAGATTCATTGGTTCTCTTAGAATATACAACAACTCTCTCCCGATTTTTGACAAAGGCATTATTTTAGCTGGCTCTGATGCTAGGTAGCTGAGAGGCGCCTTTGTTTGGTTGTTACCTCTCAGAGCTCCGCTCATTCTGGAACAACCTTATTTAATCTGGCAGGATTTAGAAATGTCTGTCACTTCAATTATGTCTCCCAGCATGCTGCCCATAGCAGAGATAAGCTGGTTACTTAAGTGGAGCAAGCCCCAAGCCTGGTGATTCTCAGGGCCCAGTGACACCCCATCTGACACGTCTGCTGAGCTTTGGAGGGAGTCTCCCTGCCTGCTGAGCGTCTGTGCCCAATGACCCACTGAGGTTCAGTTTGCTGTGTTCCCGTGCCCAATGAGCCCATGTGCCCCAGGGCTAGGGCCCTATCAAATTCATGTTCCATTTTGGACAATTTCACAGTCAAGGATTTAAAAAATCATGCATTTCATGATTTCAGCTATTTAAATCTGAAATTTCACGGTGTTGTAACTGTAGGGGCCTTGACCCAAAAAGGAGTTGGGGGGGGGGGTCACAAGGTTATCGTGAGGGGGTTGCGGTATTGCTACCATAAAAGGTGATGCTAGGGAGGGGCAGGAATGGTCACATGCCCCTCCCCAAAAAGAAAAGGAGGACTTGTGGCACCTTAGAAACTAACAAATTTATTTGAGTATAAGCTTTTGTGAGCTACAGCTCACTTCATTGGATGCATGCTGTCAAGGTTCCTCCCCCACTCTGAACTCTAGGGTACAGATGTGGGGACCTGCATGAAAAAAACCCCTAAGCTTATCTTTACCAGCTTAGGTCAAAACTTCCCCAAGGTACAAAATATTACACCCGTTATCCTTGGAATGGCCGCTACCACCACCAAACTAATACTGGTTACTGGGGAAGAGCTGTTTGGACGCGTCTTTCCCCCCAAAATACTTCCCCAAAACCTTGCACCCCACTTCCTGGACAAGGTTTGGTAAAAAGCCTCACCAATTTGCCTAGGTGACTACAGACCCAGACCCTTGGATCTTAAGAACAATGAACAATCCTCCCAACACTTGCACCCCCCCCTCTCCTGGGAAATGTTGGATAAAAAGCCTCACCAATTTGCATAGGTGACCACAGACCCAAACCCTTGGATCTGAGAACAATGAAAAAGCATTCAGTTTTTTAAAAGAAGACTTTTAATAAAAAATAGCAGTAAATAGAAATAAAGAAATCCCCCCTATAAAATCAGGATGGTAGATATCTTACAGGGTAATTAGATTCAAAACATAGAGAACCCCTCTAGGCAAAACCTTAAGTTACAAAAAAAGTACACAGACAGAAATAGTTATTCTATTCAGCACAATTTTTTTCTCAGCCATTTAAAGAAATCATAATCTAACACATACCTAGCTAGATTACTTACTAAAAGTTCTAAGACTCCATTCCTGTTCTGTCCCTGGCAAGAGCAGCACACAGACCCTTTGTTCCTCTCCCTCCTCCCAGCTTTTGAAAGTATCTTGTCTCCTCATTGGTCATTTTGGTCAGGTGCCAGCGAGGTTACCTTTAGCTTCTTAACCCTTTACAGGTGAGAGGAGCTTTCCCCTGGCCAGGAGGGATTTCCAAGGGGTTTACCCTTCCCTTTATTTTTATGACACATGCAGTGGAAAATACAGTGGGGAGATTTATATACATAGAGAACATGAAACAATGGATGTTACCATACACACTGTGACAAGACGATCAGGTAAGGTGAGCTATTACCAGCAGGAGAGAGAGGGGAAAAAAAACCCCACCTTTTGTTGTGATAATCAAGGTGGGCCATTTCCAGCAGTTGACAAGAACATGTGAGGAACAGTAGTGGGGGACTGGCCTGTCTCCCAAGATCTGTGAGAGTGATGGGTCGTCCTTCAGGACAGGTTGTAGATCCTTGATGATGCGTTGGAGAGGTTTTAGTTGGGGGTGAAGCTTACGCTCAAATAAATTTGTTAGTCTCTAAACATCACCTTCGGCCCTCAACTAAAACCTCTCCAAAGCATCATCAAGGATCTATGACTTGTCCTGAAGGACGACCCATCACTCTCACGGATCTTGGGAGACAGGCCAGTCCTTGCTTACAGACAGCCCCCCAACCTGAAGCAAATACTCACCAGCAACCACACACCACACAACAAAAACACTAACCCAGGAACCTATCCTTGCAACAAAACCCGTTGCAAACTGTGTCCACATATCTATTCAGGGGACACCATCATAGGGCCTAATCACATCAGCCACACTATCAGAGGCTCGATCACCCGCACATCTACCAATGACAGGTTTCAGAGGAACAGCCGTGTTAGTCTGTATTCGCAAAAAGAAAAGGAGTACTTGTGGCACCTTAGAGACTAACCAATTTATTTGAGCATGAGCTTTCGTGAGCTACAGCTCACTTCATCAGATGTTTACCGTGGAAACTGCCGGTAAACATCTGATGAAGTGAGCTGTAGCTCACGAAAGCTCATGCTCAAATAAATTGGTTAGTCTCTAAGGTGCCACAAGTACTCCTTTTCTTTTTACATCTACCAATGTGATATATGCCATCAGGTGCCAGCAATGCCCCTCTGCCATGTACATTGGCCAAACTGGACTTGACTTGAAAGGTTGAATCATCACTTGGACCTCTGGGTTGATTAAATTGGGGTCCATTAAGGAAGCATGGATAGCCGACATTTGTGCTCCGGTGTCCCTACACCCTGTGACCTTCTTCCTGCCCACACTCACAGCTTCCCTCTGCTCTGAGGGTATCTGGGAGGTATCTGGGCCTGAGGACCTCTGGTGTGATTCTGGTGCAATGAACTGTAATCTGTTGGAGTTCTTGGGGCAGTTGGCCTTTACATGCCCCGGCTTGTTACATTTAAAACATTGTTGAGCTGATGGGTCACTGGGGCGAGGTGGGTTGCTGGAGAACGGTGTGGCAGGATGATAAGGTGTCTGGAGTGTTCCTTGGGGTGTAGTTGGGACCTTGGGCTGCCCCCAGTAGTAGGGTGTGGTCTGGGGGTGTCCCTTCTGGTATCCGTTCCAACTGCAACCAGGGTTGTTTCTCTCTCCTCCCTCCACTTATTTTGTTCCAGTTTGCCCCGCCTCTCTGGTGGTCTGGGACTGCTCGTATTGATCAGCATAAGAAGCAAGACTTTCTGCTGAGTCCATTTTCTTACCCCATAAACACTGTTTTATATCCTCCTTGGACATATTCAGGAATTGCTCCTGAGTCATCAAATCACACATTCCTTCAATGCTAGTTACCCCCTTCCTTTGACCCATT